TTTAACTCATACACGAACATTTGATGGTAATTTTGTTTATGCACAAAATAAACGACAACAAGTTGTTATGGCTGAACGACTTGCTGAACGATATCCATCGGTTTATTTTGCTACATGGCATCCAGGTAGAATTTTATAGAAAGATAAATTTGAAATAAAACCTTTTTTTTTTTTGTTTTACTTTTTAAAAGGTTGGGTTGATACACCTCTTGTTCGTTCAGCAATGCCAATATTTTATGCAAAAATGCAAAATCGTTTAAGAATACCAGAACAAGGTGCTGATACATTGATTTGGTTATGTTGTCAAAAAGATATTGCTGAAAAATATAAAAATGGAGATTTTTTTCAAGATCGTACTGTTGTTTCAAAACATTTACCATTAGCATGGACGAAATCAACTATTGAAGAAGATGAACGATTTATGAGAAATCTTGATCGTGTTTATGAAAAGTATGTTCAATAGATAGTAATTTAAAATTTTTTTTTGTAATTTTATTATTAAAAAATATAGATGATGATTAATTTTTATAATAAAACTATTGAAAAAGAAATGTATCATTTTAGTTAAAATTATAATTTTAGATAAGATATAATAACAAGATAGCTAGTATTAATTACATAGATAGTGTTAGAATTCATTATCCAATTATCAACAGAAAGTGTGACTAGCCAATCGAACTAATGTTCCAACGAGACTAGTCAGAACCTATAAAGATTCATCCTCATACATTGTCTTTCCTAGGTTATTTCAGTTTTACTAAATATTTTGTCCTTGGCAAAGTATTTGTGATAAATCAAAGTATGAAATCTCAACCAGGAAATTTGTTCAGTGGTAGATTTTATAGATTTTAGATTGCCCTAGAAATTTCAGCCTAAAGGGATGTATTCTTCTTGAGATATTGAATATCCAAAAATAGTCATGTGTTCCAAGAAAAAAAAAAGATAAGAACGCCCAATGTTTTCAAGACTTGATATCTCAAGAACAATACATCGTTTTGGGCTAAAATTTTCAAAACATTCTAAGGTTCACGAAACCTACTAATGGGCAAAATTTCAGACTGAAATTTGGTAGTTTGATTGTTTCACAAATATCTTGCCAGAGATAAAGAATTCAATAAAATTATAATAACTTGGCAAGGAGAACATATGCGGACGAACTCTTATAGACTTCTATTAGTCTCATCGAAACCTGTTTTTCTGGAAAAATATCAGATCGATTGGAGAATTACACGTGGAGATGCTTCTTTATCACAGGTAATTTTAAACTTTTTTAAAAATTTCACTTTCTTTGTACTTGATGAGAAAAATACGAAAAATTTCAGTGCTAAAGTTGAGGTGTTGGTTTTCAGGATCCTGTAAATTCAACAAGTAGGAAAGTCAAAAACGAAAATGGCCGATTTTATTTCGAAGCATACTTCCAACTATCATTGGTAAAAATTTCAGCTTGACTGGTTGTAAGGTCTTCGAGAACCAGAAACAGTCAAAGAAAAACAGATCGATAATTCAAACAATAGAGTTTACAAAATTAGACAGAAAACAAATAGCACCAAAATCTGTAAACCATCGTCGCAATAAAAGCCCACGGCGCTTCTACAATGTCAAAGTGTTCAAAAATTGCAGAGGGGTTTCTATTATGAGAAAGCTATTAATATGACTTTTACAAAAAAAAGTTATGGAAACAGAATATTGCATATCAATCTTCATGTCTAATCTCGATTTATATGCAACGAATTTCTTTAGATAACAAGATACTAAATTAATTAGTGTGCTTTTTTTTTTATTCTATTGTCACTGTATGTCATTCATTACGATTAATTAGTCTATAATTGTGAGATGGCATGGTGACATATTTCTACTTTCAACTATTTATTTCTTATTTCTAAATAAGAGATTAGTAAAATGTTGTGCTATACACATCTAAACCTATTAATAAAAGCGTCGGTCTAGTATGTGCTCTTTTCATGTTCCAACCATATCCTGATATCACAATTAATAACAACTGTAAAGCTTTGCTCGAAAAACTGAAATTGTCTGGACGTATGTAATAAAAGGATTGGCACTTCTAATATGGGAAAGTAGTTTAGTTTCAATTGTTTTCAGAATGATGTTTTGATTTGAAACAGTATTTTGTAAGTCGAATTTCCAAATCTTTCTGAATCATTAGTAAAATTCAGTTGATTCTCCACAGTTTATAATGTTACATACATTTTGTATTGCATATTTGACTAAAAATTTCATTTTTTTTTTTAGCAAACAATAAATCTTATGAAATGCGCGCTCACTCTTGTTCAGCAAGACATTGTAAAGAAGATTTTTCGTATGTTTGATAAACTTATTCACTCTGTGAATTTTATACTTCAAAACATATGAAAATTTCAAGTCACTACATTCGAATGATCTTCGAAAGTAAACAGCAAACTTGAATTTATAATAAAAAATATAAAGAAAAAAAAAAATTCTTTTTTTTTTTTTAGATATACATCAATTTTACATTAAGAAATACCATTCACCGTTATGACAAATAAAATAGTTTATCTAAATAATAGAGAAATATATTGAATAACCACAATTTGTTATTCATAATTAATGATAAATGTATATATATATCTTCATCATCATCATTAATAACAACACTATTTTTTCTATATATATTTATAACAAAATTATTTGTTTGTTTGTTTGTTTATTTTTATGTTGATTATAAATGATTTGATTTTGATCTTGAAAAAACATATTCACTAAATTGTGTCATTGTATCCATTGTTGTTCCACATGTTGATGCAACAATAATAAAATATGAATCAAATAATCGTTGAAAAATTTCTAATTGTGTTAAATTAATAAAAGCATTTAAAGCAAAACGTATAAATTGATTTCTTTCAACATGTGCATGTATAGGTGTTGTTTGTTGTTGTTGTTGTTCTTGAATTTCAGGAAATAAATCATGTATAAGTGTTATATTACCACTTATTAATACACGATTTTGACTTATATTTAATAATAAAACATCATGATTATTTAATAATAATTGTTGTTGTTGTTGTCGTTGTTGTTTGGTATTTTTTAATAATTTATTTTGATTTAAACGTTCTTCAATAGCATTTATTAATGGTGTTAATTCGAAATATCGAGCTTCTTCAAGTAAAGCTGATAATTCAGGAAAATTATCTGATAATGTTAAACTACCATAACGCATATAATTTAATATATAACGAAAAAGTTTTCCATCACGATCAATAAAATAATGTTGTTTAAGAGTATCTAATACAATTGGTATTGTACCATTAAATAATTTTGATAAACGACTATCAGGATAACGTGTTAAAGTTTCTAATGATGATGTAAATATTGTACCACCAACATCAATATGAACAGGAGCTGTAAAACGTGATGGATTAGCTGGACGTGGTATACCTAATGGAGATGATGAAACTTGTGGTCGAATAATTGTATTATCAGAATTTCCATCAAGAAATCTATTTCAAAACAAAAAATAAAAATGTTTTTTTAAACTTTTTTATAGAAGAATAAGAAGAAAGAAGCATATACAAGAATATTTTTTCTAGATATAGATAAAAATATTTTTTAATTTACCTTGGTTTTGTTTGTATATTTGATGAAATATCATTAGTTCCACCATTTGAAACTAATTTTTGATTAGTAATTTTTGGACTATTTGTTGTTAAATGTGATTCATTTTGTTTTTGACGTTGTTCATCATTATTTCCATTAACAAATTTTGATTGTGTATTATCTAAATGTTGATGTTTTTTTGTTGCCATTTGTCTTTTATTTGATATAATTGTATCTGTATCATAAGAATGATGTTCAATAAAACGACGTTTATTATTTTGACTAAAATCATTTTCTATTGGTTCATGTTTAGGGATAATCATTGATGATGAAACTTTTGGACTAACTGACGATGAATGTCTTTCTATTATATCATTATTCATTATTGTTGTTACCTTTTTTTCTTTTCTAAATTGTTTGTATTAAATAAAAAACAATAATCAAAAATACTATCTTGTAATCGAGAAGACAGTCAGCTAACAATGACAAGGAAGAACGAATTTCTCATTTTTTTTTTCTAACATATATATACATACGTACACACACATCCACGGTGTCGCCTGAGGCTATTCGTTAGAATGGAGAGGGAGAAAGAAGAGGGCAAGCGAGCAGCCGAAAGCAGAGTAAAAAATGAGTGAGAATCGACACGATGTATGTATATGGTAACGGCTTTTTGCAGAACATTGCTTAGGGCAATTCGCTTGCCATGTTGCTACAGATTAGTTTTCTCACGATTAGACACCGAGAGAAAGGAAGAAGTCCTGGCGGCAATAGAATATGTCTCTTTCGTTCGCTTTTGTTGCCTTGGAGCTTCAATCTGTCTTTTTTGCCTCGGACTATCTTCTCGTTTTTCTTTCTTCTTTCTTTTACATGTTCAGAACAAGATGGTCAGAAGTAAGCAAAAGCAAAATAAAACTTGCGTATGTTATGTGTGTATGGCTTATTTGCCTATGGCAATGCACAATCATCTTACTCTCCCCCTCTCTCTCTCTTTTCCTTCTATTTCTCTTCTTCACTCTTATTGCTTCTTCGACTACTGCTTCAAGCCTTAAGGGTTTTGTCGATCCTATGTGCTTGTCGTTACCATCACTGAAGCCTGTAAGGCATGTTGGTCTAATTGATGTGTGCGTGTATAAGCAATGCAGATGCGAAAAAAAGAGAGAGTTGAAAGGGAATGATGATGAGAACATGACTTAAAGCAATCTTCGTGTATAATGTGAATAGTACGCTTTGTCTCTCTTTTTCTTTTTCTTACTTTTATTCATCTTCATATCTTTATTCTATTTTAAAGACTATGTAATAAAGCTAAAATAAATCAAGTTTGACTATGTTCAATGTATATTTTGTTTTTCATTCTTATATAATATATATATATATATACGAGAGACTATAAATATTATTCAAAGGACAAAGTAAAAAATAAAGAATTATTCAACAAGTTTGTAATATAAAAATGAAGCATTTTTAAGTACATGTAGACATTGTTCAGAATTTATTTCGATATAATTATTTGAATCATCAATCATTTGTGAAACTTCATCAATAACAATTGATTGTCCATGATCACATTCATCATCTGTATATGCCCAACCAACTGCTGTTCGTATATAAGCACATTGATTATTTGAACATAATATAGCTAATAATAAATAATCATTATCATATAAACGAATAGCACGTGATGGAAATATTATTTCAACACGATCGAATAATTTAATAAGTTCAATACGAATATCATTTGGTGGTTGAGTAGGTATATGAGGTTCACATCCAGTAATTTGTTCATCGATTAAACTTTGTACATTACATTGATCATCAAATATATTTAAACATAATTGATTGTATATAGGAATTTGATTTTCTAATAAAGATTTTATACGACTAAGTGTCCAAGTATCGAGAAAGTATTCTTGACCAAATACAGGTAAACTCTGTGTGGATAATGATTGATCGTTATCATTTATTGGTTGAACTAAATGGCAATTGTTCTTATTTTCATTGTCATTATCATGTAATGTTAATTCACCCAGTTGTGATTCTTCAGGTTTATCATAGGATGTTGATCTGTAATTTTCTGGACGATATATTCGTGATGATGTTGGATCTGATTCAATGGATGATGTTTGATTGATTGAATCTTTATCATCAGTTGTCGATAAAGTCATTTGAATTCTTCGTTGTTCTCGTTCGGATGTTAATCGACTAAGAACACCACGTGATGGTGATATCACATGATTATTATCTAAATTAGGTTCAATTTGAGATATAGCTGGTGAAGAAAATGATCGAATTGGTTGTTGAGTTATGGGTATATTGACTGGGGATGTTGACAAAGATTGTCTATAAAATATAAATTTTAAAAATAAATCATAGAGAAAATTTATCGAACAATTTTATATTATCCATAAAATTATCAAGATGCTGATTTTTAAGCGATGACTTATGTCGCAATGTACAGACAGTGTTTGTGTACGAGATTCAAATCTTAAAAGTTCAATTTTAGTTACATTTATTTAAATAGATAGATCTACGACAATTAGTTGCAATGCCGAAAAAATAAAATTGGCAATAGAGTTTTTTTAATAGTATGGAGAAATAAGCTAGAGAAATCTTGAAAATAACAAACAATTTATTCAAGGATAAGAAACAGTAGATATGAGTATAAATACGAATATTTAATAAACTCTTCTAATTGAGTATAAAGCCTTACACGAGAGTAAGTAGTAATTGTTTTGAAAATTTCCCATAATCCTATATACGTAGATTTTTTTTCATTTTGGAGCTTCTATCTGTCTCAATCTTTGATATTCGATAATAAATATCGTTTTCGTCTTTTTTGTAATATCTCGGCGAATTCAATATTTGAATGTCCATATTCAGTTATTGTTAACCAGCAAAATCATCTACAAATCCATTCCATGGGATGAATCTTTATTTTTCACATGCTACTCTCATCTTCGCATGGTATTGTATGTGATTGAATTACATGTCTGCAAATTGAGGTTTGAAAATTATCATTTTCTCGAATGGATAGGAAAATGTATGATATACATTTCGACAACTAAACATTTTGAAAAACGAATTATCTATAAACCCATATAGCTGCTTTATGAGAAATATTACATTGATTCTTTATCATTCTATTAAAATGATGATTATACAATTTTAACTATCGTTTTCTTCTATCGATTCGTAAGAATTTGACATTCTGAAATTTTTATATAAGACAATAATAAATTTTACCTAATATTCAAAAACAACAATAACAATAAGACCTATACTAATCGAATATACTCAAACATTAATTTCCTATCAAAAGCATAGCTAAAATGAAATCATCCGAGAAATATTATCTATTCATATTAATAAATTAAATATTCACTTTTCGTCGTGGAATTCATTATCGGAAGTTGTAAGCCTGTTAATATCGATCTTCTTTTCAATAATCTTGTACGAATCAGTAAAACCAGATTCTAAGATATAATAACCTTGTCCTTTTGGACAATTAAAATAACGCTTATTATCAAACGGACAAGTACCATCAGTATATCCTATACCATAAAAAGAAAAACTTGATGAATAAGATGAAACAAATTCTTTTTCTTACCAGGCAATATCGAATCAATCAATTGCAAACCGATTATCGGTGTTTCTTCGATAAAGCCAAGCCAACAGACACTATTTTAGACAAATAAGAAGGGTTGTTGGCTTTTTCGTTTTTTCTTTATTTTTGTTACACAAACTTACATAGCACGTTGTACTGAATTCTGAACAATATCACCAATAGTTAAACTATTCATTGATCTCCAAAAAAAAATGAAATAAAAATTTTTTTTTCCTTGAGTATTACTTTTTTCTAGATTTTATTGTAAAAAAAACAACATCACAAAATTTTGTATCATTTATATATCAAAACAATTTCATTATAGAAAACCAGAAAAGATAAAATGAAAAAAAAATAAAAATTCATTTTTCTTCTTGTCTATAAATATATTTTACTGCATTATGAAAAATTAATGATAAAAGAAAATGTGCTGATTCTATTAAACGTATTTGTTCATTCACTGATCTTGACTCAATTATATCATTCAAATTATCATTTAAATCATTATTTAATTGTTCACATGTATAATCATGTTGATAATAATACCATTTATTTGTTTCTAAATTTTTTATGAAAACAATAAAATGTTGATTTAGTTCACATATAATAGCTTCGAGTTGATAACGTGGTGAACGAGGAAGAATAGCATGAATATTAAGTATTTCTGATGGAATTACATATGAATTAGCATCATTACAAATTTTTGATATTATTATTGGTAGAATAACAGGTGCTGGTCGTCGTAAATGAATTGTATCTAAATCTTGATGATCATCAATTATTTTTTGAATAGTTAATGACCCAACAGGAGCATATAATTCTAATGCATCAAAATATTCTCCTGTATCAAAACAAATCGCATGTCTATATGTTCGTACATCTAAATAATCTCGACATCGAGATTCCATATAACCAGCTTTAGCATCATTTATAATACATTGAAGAATATCATCCGTATCAACATACGTTCGAGAATCTAAACGAAAATATAAAAATAAAAAATGATTTTAACCAATAATATATTATATACCAGTTGCCATAAATTATTTATGAAGCATAAATGTAATTATGAATATTCTAATGATATATTTGATAGCTTCTAAAATTGTTTCTTATCTAAGCAAAAAAAAAAAAAAAGAAAAATAATTAAGTTCAAAATAAAAAATTTTTTCTTTATAAAGGAAGACACAAATATTATAACAAGTAGAAAATATATAATTTGTATATTATACAAAATAAAACAGAAAAAATAATACATAAGAAACTTTTACATTCATTCTATAAATCATATAATCACTTCAATGAAATTGTCAATTAAATCAAAAAAGAAAACAAACAATCGAAAAAAATTGAATTTCTTAATTAAATAAAAATCACAAAAAAAACAAACATTTTATGATCACATTCGTTGATTATAGTCAAAAATTTACTAATTCTCATCATTAATTTTCTGTACAAGATATACATAAGTAATAGGATGATAGCATAAAGCAGATAAAGGAAAAACTAATTCAGATGGATGAATAAATTTTCTATGATTATTTTGTTTTAAAATTGATTCAAGTTGAAATTGTTCATCATCCGATAATATATTTGAATATGATTGTGATGATTTTATACGATTAATATGAAGAATATACCAATGATTTTTTGGTGAATGTTTATAAAACATTAATTTATTCTTAATTTTATCTGACTCACATATAATAGCAATTAATTTTCCTTGAGATAAATTTTTATTTCTATCAAAAAAATTTTCAAATGAAATAATTGAATTAGGTAAAAATAAACTTTTATTATTGATTTCTGTTCGAATAAGTAAACATTCAGGTTGATTACGAAGTGGTAATTTACTGTTTACAAAACAATTTTGATTAATAGCCATTTGTACAGTTAAATAATTTGATATATCTGAACATAATATTAAAAATGTTTCTTTATGATTATCATTAAATATTAACCATTTCTTTTGAAACCATATTGTATCAATTTCAATATAAATAGTAGATAAAAATGGAGTGAAAAGACGTTTTATTGATAAATGAGAATTTCCATTTGATTTTGATGAAGAAGAAGGCATTGTTTTCAAAATAGTTGATGAATAATCAGACGATGAGATTATATTTGTTTGAATTGGTAAACTTGAATTAGGATTTGTATTTCCTAGTATGAATAAAATAAAGATAAAAATAATTGTTAGTTTTTAATTATGAAGATATAATTATGTCAGAATTGTAACCGTTTTGGCTAGACCAATCGGTTTTCATAGGTTGGAAAGTATGTTATAGATATGTCATTTTTCTCTGATAAACCTTATTCTTATCAAAATAATGAAATAATGTTGTTTCAAAAATGTTCGTCCACACTTTTATTTCTTTAATCGAAATATATTTCATTTTTTTAAAAAGTGCCCATCAAAGTTATGTTATTTGAGCTAAACGTTTTTGATAAACATCAAATTTCGACTTGGATCGTCGTTTGACGAGAGATGTTAGATTTGTCTGACAAGGTTGAGTGAGAAAAATTCAAGATTTGAAGTTTAGAAATCAATTGATGAGGAAATAACTCTCTTTTCTTCTTCCTTTATATAGAATAAACAACTATAACATGGTATTTCTTCTTGAAGATGTTAAAAATCTGCGTACAAAAAAGAAAATAAATGTTTTTTTGAAGTCACTCGCAGTATGATCCAATAAACTGACCAGTTTTTGCCGGTCTAAAACATCTTTTGAATTGGTTAGACCAAACCAGTTCAAAAATTCTCGATCGACTACAACTCTCAGTTATGTCAAAAATATCTTGAATATCCTACGATCAATATGACAATTAAATTTACTACGAATATACCGACAGTAATTGATAAAGAATGGAAAAAGTTTATTAGGTTACTTAAATCTTAAAATTTGAAAATGTTTTTTTTTTTAATTTTATTATCACTAAAAGATTGTTTATTTTATCGAAATTCTCTATTCATTGTGTTAGGGATTTATTAATTCAAAGCGAGGATAAAAACTACAATTATTATTCGATATAGTTATGAATTTTTATCTTTCTAATCCTTTTTTTTTTTAGTACATAAATCAAAATGATACCTGAAGTATTATTTGTTGGTATATTATTATTACATTCTTCTACAAATCGTTCAAATCCAATATGAGGTTCTGTTAATTGAGTATATAAATCTTGAAATCCAATATTAGCTGATGTCGAATGCATTATTATGATTGTTCAATCTGAAGACAACGAAAATAAATAAATTTATACTTGATCTCTTTTTTTTTCCGACAAACATTGTAACATTTGACTGAGAAGACAAGAAAAATAAATATGAGCATAAAATTTGTACGAGAAAACTAAATAAAAATGTCGATGACAACAATTATGTTACAGACAAAAACAAACAAACAAACAAATAAAAATAAAATATATTATTGAGACAATATTAAATCAGCAATATTATGACCACAACAAAAAAAAAATAAATATTATGCTATTTTCATTTCTCTTCTTCTTTTTTTTTATTTTAAATAATGCCAAACTATATGATATATATCATAAATAACAGCAAAGCCAAAATAAATTGGAATGATCCATTGAAAAGTAATAAACCATTGTGGTAATTGAAAAGGTAATACATAACGGCTAGATAAAATATTTGAATGAAATCTTTCCTTTTTTTTTCTTTCTTTAAAACTTAACATTTCTTACCGATATTCTGTTGCTGTGACTTTATAAATCATTATTGCAAGAAATATACCCATTTCAATATTTTGAAAAAGACTTCCAGCTTGTTCAAGAATACTTTTAAAACCCTAAAATTATCATGAATTAATAATTACAACATTCTATTGTTTTTTATTTTTTATTTTTGCAAACCTTTGGATTACTCATTGCAATACCAAATACAATTGAGAAAATAATCAAAGAAAAAATGCTTTGTATAATTCTAGAAAAATTCAATAAATTATCATTTCAATAGAAAATAACTTCATTATTTAATAAACGAACCGAAATTTTTGAGACAAAATCTTTGTTTATTTTTGACTAGTTTGAAAATATTTTCGAAAAATCAAAATCTATGGGTTATAACTAGTAGTGAATGGAATCAATTGTTTTTAGTCCGGGTTTCGCACTTAGTTATACATGTCACTAGCAAAAAATGCTTTATCATTTTTTAGCAGTGTCATTGAGTTCGAGAAATTTTGCACGATCTGCATGACATCTAATATCTTCCCTTTTGGGGATTCATTACTTTTTTTAAATTTACTAATACTTCATCTATTCTGCATATTGATATGTTTGACAGATCTGTTGTTTACGAAAAAAAAAAGAATTAATTTTACTATCAAAATTGTAAGTGATTATTACTTGATAATTTTCGTATAAAATTTTAGAACACATGAGTCGTGAGAATATGATATTTGATACAAGTTTGACACGAGCATAAAAAAGATATTACTCCTAATGGAAAAGTGTTGGTCCTGGTTCTACTGGGACCATCTTGTTATGACCAGAATTTTGTGTTCTGACTGAATATAGACTTAGAAATTTTCTTGACACCAATGAAATGATCTTCTGGAAAGGCTCAACAAAATAGTTGGGGTGGAAAATTTTTCTGTACACTTCTGTACCTTCATTGTTGCAATTCGAAAGTAAATGTTGACACTTTTATTAATATATCAACTTGTAGAGTGGAATCTACTTGGCAAAATGTACTATTAGAGGTTGTTTTTTCTACAGATCAATTTAAGTTTCGTTTCTCTTAAATTCTGATTTTTGATTAAAAGGTGTTTTGTATGGAAAGGAGCTCTTGACAATGTGCCTATAGTTTTACTTGGGTGAAGACCAAAGTGTAGTTCAATATAAACTTTTGTAAAGAGATATTCACTCGAACTTCACTATTTTTTGACACTTTCGATGAGGAACTTATAAAAGTTAGCAAAAGTCTATTGGTTTACCATGTAATCTAATTTTTCAAACCTTTAAAAACATTCCTTCATTAGTCGTGAACAAAAATTGAGATAAAATTTCTAAGCCCATATAAACAAATATTTTATCTGAAAATTTTCGGTTCATCCATTATTATTTACCGTCGGACAGTAATATATTGAAAAATATTTCCATATTTTGTTAAACTTGTTTCTGCTTCTATTGTTGGATTCCAAAATGAATCAACAACACCTTTGACTAAGGAAAAAAAAATAATTTATTAATTAAATACAAAGAAAAATATTTATTTTACTTGTATGATGTAATGCTGAACCCATAGTCATAAATGAAACCGAAATACTTATTACAATAAATAATTGAACAATAAATGAAACATATTGAAAAAATTTATAATCGTCCGTTTCAAGAATCTAATTAGAAAAAAAAAGATTATTGTGTTCTTCTTTTTTTAAGTTCTGCATTATAGAACTAACTTTGCTTAATGGTACTGTTGAAATTTCTCCATTTAATTCCGCTCTTAAAGAAAAAAAAGAAGAATTTAAATAAAAGATTATTATTTTTTTTCAAATAAATCCACCTTTGTAATGAAGGTGAATAAATACATTGACCTTTAATTTGTGATTCATTTAAAAGATTAAATACCATTTGAATTGATTCATTTAGATTATTTGATAAACATGTACTACGTTGTGGAACAATTGCTAATATTGACCAACACCTTTAGAAAATATATAAGTTAAAAATGAGTCGTTTAAAAAGACTAACAAAAAAACAAAATCAGCAATCGAATAGATTTCAATGGTTTCTTTTTTGTTACATGCAATTTGTGACATGCCGAGAAAAGTCAAATGGTACAAATGTGTATATGAAAAGCATTTTAACCCTTTACCCCCCATAGAGGTTCCAGAAGAGCTATTGATGAAACAGCCATTGGAATAGAGTATTGGTGCCTCCAATATGCTAAAATTACGGTCAGATCGATCAAACGCACACTTGAGTTTTAGGGTAGTTTGTTGAGGGGGAGTAGGGGGATCGATTTGGAAAAAATTTCGTGAACTTTCCATAATACCGACGGAGTTCGGCCAAAAAACGTCGTAGAGAGCTCGTGGACGTCTTATTTTGTAGAGAATTGTTCACTCTATAATTTTACGTAGTTTAAACAAAACTTTATTTTCGGATTGTAGAAGGCCAAAAGCTAAGGGTTGATTTTCTGGAAGTCCTTCAGTGACCATTCGATGCTTTACCACATCTTGCCTACCTAATGCTTTTCAAATTTTTGAAACTTATATAATCTACTAGTGGATACTTTCTTTGATGTAAATCACGCAACACGTCGCCAAGATATATATTGCCTAGAGGTAGAAAAAGAATTTTACCAAGAAAATTCCATTTTTTACTTTTTTTGAAAATCATCGATTTTATAAGTTGTATATCTCGGCACTAGCACAGCGAAAAAAATCTCTTTTTTTACTAGTCGATAGCTCATGAAGTTTACTACAAATAGTGCTCTTAGAGGTTTTGAATTCTATGCTTCCTTTATTTTCTGCAATCGTTCTACAAATGGTCATTCCAGTGACCAAGGGGGGGGTAAAGGGTTAATGCAGTTGTTTTTTTTTTTTTACTTTTTTTTTAAAAATGTTTTCTTGAAATAATATAAAGAATGTTGATAAATCGATCCGATTTGAAAATACTGATTATAAAGTTTTTAGCCGATACAAATCAGTGTTTCATTGTTCTATACATATACATAGATTTCTATAATTTGTTTTTGTTAGGAGAAAAATCAGGTCTATTACAAAGTATATAAGTCTTATACAGATCTATCAATATGAACCAAGCATTATTCATTTCTGCGTTCAAATATTAGATCCAAAGGTGTCCTGAGCGGGAGGAGATGAGTCCCAATCATGGAAAATTTTCTTTTTTCTCATTCATATCCAAAACAATGGTCGGTCTTTCAATCTCGTTAATCTCAGAACATCCCTGATTATTAGATCGTGCATATGTTTATTAGACTTTGATCAGAAGTAAATTTAAATGATATTATATCAATGTGGTAAAGAAAAATTATTTTAATATTCCAACAAAAATAAGAAAAAAAAAACATAAATGAAAGTATTTGATAATAGTATTGATCTAATCGAAATTCTCTCAATTGAACATTATCTTATTTCATAGAATCTCACTGACTTCTATTATATCATACCAAAGAATATTTAAAATAACACATGTTGTCAAACCAAGAAATAAAGCTACATTGAAGCCAATAATCTAAGCATAAAGAAAAAGATATCAAACAGATTTTGTCGAAAAAATAAAAAAGAAAATTTAATTTACTTCATCTCTTGTCTGTTTCAATTTTGAAAACATTAATGGCATAACATTCATTAAACCACCTAAATCAAAATCTATCTATCAAATTAAACAAAATAATTTATCTTACCTAATGCAATTGTACTCATTAAAAATGAATCTCCAATAGCTTTATAATCATTTGTTACTGGATTTTGTACTTTTAATCCAACTAATAATGTTACAACAACCTTTCAAAAAAAGAAAAAAAGAACAAATAACGATATAAAATATATAATTAGAATTATTTACCGTTCCAGTAAAAAGTGTTCCTTTAAGAAAAGTTAATACTGATATAATTGGTTGAATAAATGAATGAAGAAAAATAATGACAAATGTCCATGTCCAACAAAAAACCGGAATCATTTTAATATAACTAAAATTAAATTGAAATAATTCATTTATTTATCATTCATATAACTTACTTGACATGAAATAAAGTTGTAAATGCTTGACTACCAGCTAGTGCGTAGCTTACTAATAAGCATAATCTAATAAAAAAAATCTTTTCCTTTTCATAAAATTAATAAGAAACTAACTAATACATACAAGCTCAATAGTACCGTTAATGTAAATAATTGTCGAAGAAAACATGGTAATAAAAGCTCTCCCAATGAATGAAGATTTGGTAAACATTGCTTGATTGTATCCACTTTATTGGCTATAGAAAAAGAATTAAATTTATCCATAATTTGATATGAAAACAAAACATAAGAAAGAAATCATTCATGCAGCAAGAAAAACAAACGAAATCCATACACTGTCTGGCATAATATTTCATAGTAGTAGTTATGTCGTGATCACCATTGTCGTTTAGCATTAGTGGTACACTAGATTCAACATCGCCTGTGAGAGGACAATAAGCAATATATATACACATATATTTACGAATAGAAAATACAGAAACACAAACAAACAGAAAAAAGACAACACGAAAAAAAAATAAAAAATAAAAAAAAAATCACCTCTCGAAGGAACAACCATATCTCGTAATTCCACAAATTCACCGTATTCTAAATATAAATAGAAAAAAAAAAAGTATTGTCCTTCGTTGTTTTAATTAATTTGATTGATTGAAATTTTAATAGTATTTTCTCGATATGAACTCAAACGTGTACCAATACGTTGTTGAAGATCAGGATTTTTCTTTGTTATAAATTTTTTCTTTATAAAACTAAATTTCATTTCATTGAAAAATAAAAATGTTACAGATTCACACCATGGTAATATTGTTAAATAAATAAAAAATATTCGAAAATAAATATTTAATGTTATATTCAAAGATTTTATTGTTAGTCCAGGTAATATAGATATTATATTACTTAAAACAAATAAAGATACATATAAAAGACGTTTTAAACTTTGATTAACCATATTTGAACGTTCATGTTCTTGAAATTTTGTTAATACAAGTGAATAAAAAAATACTGTTGCTAAACATTTACGTTTTAATTTAAATATATCTTTATATGATGTATATATCCATGTTAATGTTAATAAATTAAGTAATATGAAAAGTAGATAAAGAATTTTTGTTGGTATTAAAGATGTTTCATTATCATTATATTGAAAAAAAAATTTTTTTGGTTTTATTGATTTACATATATTTATAATAAGCGGATTATCTCCACCCATTGTTATATGAATAGAAAGAAAAAGACTTGAAAGAAAATAAATCAAAAATAATCCAAATATTAAACAATATTTTGAATATAATGTACTTTTATAATTTATTGTTGAATCCCAAAAATGTGCTGTTTCACCAATTATAATTAAAAGTACATCAAATGTTGATAATAATAAAAGAAAATGAATAAAAAATTCAATAGAAAGACATTTATCATAAATTATTAGACAAAAACAAATTATAAACATTGTTATACAACGGATTATACATGTAATTAAATGATGAAATATATAGAAATTAAAAATAGGACGTTGTTCTCTCATTGTCTTTCGACGACAATTTATGATTACATTACACAATCCCGCTATTACTTGACTAATTAATATAATTGCCAATGTAAAACTAAGACACATTAATATGTATAAGCATAAACGCGGAACAAGTACTATGGCTACCATGATCTAGACGTTGTTTTTATTGATCAAATGTATCGAGATATTTATATAATTTATGTGTATTTATACTAGCAAACAAATAGGACAAACTCTAATGGTTAAACATACATATGATTAATTTTCTTTCTCTTTCTTACATTTTATATAATGATGAAGATTATTTCTATTATTTTTTTTGTTTGGTTCGTTATACATTTATGTTGATATCATCCTAGATCTTATATTCCCTACTGAGAACATTCATTAGGCAAACAGCGATATACAGAAATGGTCCCTCTTAGATAGTAAAAATAATAATCATAATATCTTTTGATATGTACATTAATTAGAAACAGATGCGATGATAAAGAAAAAAACACTAATCTTAAATATTGATCTATTCTTACCCTGTCTTGCTGCCAAATCATAATCTGATCCATACGTAGGTAATTCATCTTTCTCCATATGAATCGGTGCATTATCCTTGTCGCTCTATTTAAAATAAAAGAAAAAAAAAAGCAATAATTTAATTGCTAAATTCTAACTTACTAGTTGTAAATTTTCAACATTTCGATAATAAGCCTTTTGTAAAACTTCCGTAAAGAAAAAAATTGTCAATACCTTTAATCAAAGAAATATATAAGAGAAAAAAACAAAGTATTTACGCATTTCTTTTTTACTTGAACAAAGTAACAGATCAAAAATGAGATTATAAATGGTCGAAAACCACTATCAGATAATGTCACCGGAAGGCCAAGAATACCCGTACCAAGTATCGATGCAATAGCAACGAAATCTATTTAATTATAAGAACAAAAATATATATATATATATATATTTAATCAAAAGTAAATCTTCAAGAAGAAGAAAAAAAACTTACAAAATTGTGAATAATGAGAAACAATTTTGTAAAGAGATTCGCCGAAAGTCATACTTTGTTTTTTTTTTAATCTAAAATGAAAACAATATTTCTAACATCGAAAATAAAAGTTTAGAAACTTTACCTTGGTCTAATAGAAATGGAATTTAATATTCAAAATGAAATTACTTCAACTGACGACAATTGTCGACCAGAGAGCATAAATTGTCGAAGAGACGCAAATGTAAGCGACAATAAATCGAATTAAAATATATATACTGTAAAGAAAACATAGTATAAACAGTTAATAAATACATAAAATTGTTGATAAAACAAACAAAAACTTCAAAGAAATTTTAAGTAAAAAATTTTAATAAACATCGTCAAATCTATCAAGTAAATCTAGGAAAATACTCCCACGCCTACATACTCTTTCTTTTATTATATTTTTACTGACAGATTAACGTCATTCTATTAACCAATCATAAATGAGAAACTTTCTTCATTGTTGGTTGGTTAATTTTTACATCAATTGCAATGTATTTACTATAGTGGTTGTTTATCAGACTATTTTCAATTGAAAAAGAAAAAATCATGAATTTCCGTCTGTTACGTTCTTCGCTGTAAATAATGCTGGTTTCCTTGTGTTACCTATGATTTTGCTAAATTCAATTGATACATTTTTATCTTGCTATTATTCTTAATGTATAGATTTATATATATATTTCTTGATATTTTCTTCTTATAGTCTATTGCAAGTATCATGTCGTCATTTGAAAATTTATTCTCCATCAAATAAAACTCAAATTGAATATCTTCTTCAATCATGGTCATCAAAAATTCCTGTTGAACGTGCTTTAACACTTCCATCTAGTTTTTATACATCACGAGATATATTTGAACTTGAACGATATGCTATTTTTGGTCAAAATTGGTTATTAGCTGGACGAAAATCTCAATTAAAAAAACCAGGTGATTTTCTAACAGATCGTTTTCTTTCAGAACCATATATAATAAATATTGATAAAACATCAACATTATATGCACATTATAATGTTTGTTGTCATCATGGTATGATATTATTAAATAACAATCAAGGTCATATTGAAACAAATGAAATTACTTGTCCATATCATGGTTGGCTTTATGATTTTAATGGACGATTAAAAAGAGCATTTCGTTTAAAAACTATTGAACAATTTAAAGCATCAACTATTCGTTTAAAACCTATATCAATTCAAACAATTGGTCCATTTATTTATTTAAATTTAAATTTTTTAAATAATGATAATATTAAAAATGATCTATCACATATTGAATATATTGATAAAAAATATTTAAAATCAACAAATTATGAACAATTAGAATATGTATCAAGAAAAAGTTATCATATAAAATGTAATTGGAAAATATTTATTGATAATTTTCTTGATGGTGGTTATCATGTACCTTATGCTCATAAACAATTATGTTCAATTTTAAATATGAATGAATATAAAACAGTTGTTGATCATCCGAAAATATCGGTACAATATTGTAGTGGTACAAAACGAACAGAAGGTGATGTTCTTTTCATATATATTTATCCTAATTTAATGATTAACCGATATGGACCATATATGGATACAAATTTAGTTGTACCTATTGATGAACGTAATTGTATTGTTCATATGGATTATTATTATTGTCCTCAATTAACAAATAAAACTCATGAAAACGATTCACAAAACGATTCGTATGTTGTACAACAAGAAGATATTTATTTATGTGAAAATGTTCAACTTGGTCTTGAATCTCAAGCATATGATTCAGGTCGCTATGCTCCAACTGTTGAACATGCTATGCATGATTTTCATAAAACATTATTTGATCAATTAGAAAATTATTATAATAATCATGTTAAATAATATATTTTGGTTTTTGTTAATTATTAATTATTATTTGAAATACTGGTCATCTTATTGCAATTAAAAAATTAATATTTTCAATTAATCCAAATAACAAAAAAAAAAAAGAAAAGAAAATGATTTATATTATCCTGATATAAATGTTTATTGAATGCAACAGTTACTGAAATTCTTTTTTTTATTAATTAATTTCTATTCGAAACAAAAAAAAAAGATAATCAATTGATTTTTTTTCTTTTTCTATTTAAATAGAAAAAAGTATTCATATGCTTTTGCTTTTACTTCTTGATCAACATTTTATAGATTTAACACCTATTTGATTTTATAAATATTAACATAATTCGTAAGCATTTAAGCAAACAATCATGATATTAACTTCTAAATCTCAAATGAATACAAAATAATCATAAAACTGCAATTGAAAAATTTATCTTACTCATTATAAATACTCTTATAAATTAAATCTTGCCGGTTTTCTCTATCTTGTCATTATTTATCAAACATAGAATTCATGTTACTAAGTGGTATTCATTAAATAAATAAATACTTCTATTGTTTTAAATGTCAAAGTAAGATAACCTTTTTTTTACAAAGAAATTTTTTATTCATATCAATGATATTTAATTCTTTTCATTCTGTTCTGAAAGAAATTCATTAGTTTTATTTTAGATACATTAATTCGTTTGTCTAGACTTTAGTGGACAATAACGTGGACATCAGATGAAAAAAATTAAAGTGAGATTTTTCGAGATGTGAATAATAACTTATACACTTTGATTAATGACCAATTCTTTGGTAAGAAAAAATTTGTTCCAATTGCTGAATTAATTCGAAAAATTTAGAGAGAAAAACATTTTTTTTTTTTTGAAGAATAAAAAGAGTCGGACAATAAATCATATATAATCTGAAAATAGGACTTTTACTCTAACGATTTATAAGAAAAACTTTCGTTCTCAAATAAAGCAATTATTCTTTTCATGTTAAGCGTTTTCGAAAAAGACACCTTCACTAAATGTTGACCGCCACTTTTTTTCACTCACAGAAGCACTTTGTGAGAAAAATAAAGACGTATTTGGAATCAGCATAAAACATTACATCGAGTGAGATATCATTTACTAGTTTTTAAAATAAAAAGTTGTTTCATAGAAGATTACGATAAGACACCCTCAGGGATTTTTTATCGGAAGCTTTACTTTTTTTTCTATGAATCTTATTTTTGAGTACAAGAAGCTAATATTTCTACAGAAAAAAAATTGGTTTTTGACAGAAAATAAGTCATGTCTACATGCTCGATAGATGTTGCCCACTATCTAGACTACTTTTGAAGGACGTTATCAAGTGACTAATTGCTGTTGAATTTGGACTTAGTACATAAAGTAGAGTTCAGTGGGATATGGGAAATCTTAAAAGGATAAGTCCAATTACACCTTCTGTCAAGAGTTATAGCCATTTTACTAGAATTTTAGCTTCTGGTACGGTATATACCAATAAATCGAATACTAGTATTTTAACCTAAGATTTTGCTCGCAGATAGATCTATTTGTCAGTAGAATACTCTGAAAATTTCAGCTGAAAAAAAGATTTCCTATCCAAGATGTTAAAGTTCTAAAAAACAGAATATTCTAGCATTTTTCATCGAATATAAGTCATTTTTTGGAACTTTGATATCTCGAGAAGGAAATACTCTTTTGAGATGAAATGTTCAGAATATTCTACTGACAAATAGATCTCTCTGTGGCTAAGATTTCAGGTCGAAATACCATTATTCGATTTGTTGATATATACTATACTAGAGGCTAAAATTCTAGTAAAATGCCTATAACTATTGACAGAAGGCGTAATTGGACTTATCCATCCTTTTGAGGTTTTTCATATCATACTGAACTCTACCTGATGTACAGAGTCCAGATTCAAAAGCGATTAATCAGTTGAAAATGTTCTCTAGTTAAATCAAATCTAGTATTCAAATTTAATGAAAGATTTATGAATGAAAATAATATCATTATCATTATATTGTTAATTATTATCTTTTTTCAGATATAGTTAAGACACAAAACAAAAAAACAAACGAATTAATATTGATTCTCTGAATGCTTTATAGACGAAATTAAAAAAACGACAATGAGAAAATTCAAACGAGTTATTCATAAACAATTTGGTGGTGTGGGCAATTTCTTTGCAATGATTATTCTAGTCTCAATTACTGTGATTTTTATAAATACATATGTTCTTTCAAAACGAAATCGTATGTTTAGAGTTTCTTATTTTTTTTTTTGCTTTTGTTAAAATGATTTTTTTTCTAGTATCCGATAATCCATCAGATAAAAACTTCCGTATACGTGACCAAATATATAATCAAAATCAAACAGACGAATATCCTACTTTACAGCAACAAACAAAATGGCCATCAGTTGCAGATGCTGGTGAGGAAAACAATCTCTTATAAATTAGATATTATTTTTGAAAAAAATTTAATTATTTATTTTTTTTTCTTAGGCTGTGAAATTGATGAAAAATGTTCATATGATTCTATTCCATATAAAGTTATTTCAGGAATTGGAACAGAACAATATCCAATTATATGTTTTAATAATAAATTGTATGTATTATTATAAATAATTATATAGATAAATTTTAGATTATTTTTCTTATTTATTTCTTTTAGACTAGTTCATAAAAATATAAAAGATCTAAAAATTGGTCGTGGATCTAATATAGTAGTAGTTGATGGTAAAACTTATGATGTTAAATTCATAGAAACATTTGATACATATCTAGAAGGTAAAGTCAATGTATATATTTATGATAAAAGAAAATTTAATAAGTTTTGCTTTGTTATTTTAGAAAATTTCTTTTTAAGAACTCTACGATTAAAGTTAAATGATGGTGATATTTTGATTTTAGCTAGTTTTGATGAAATGGTTTATGCGTAAGTTCAAGAAGAATTTTATTGTTTATGCTTTATTTTATATATATATTTTTTTTTTATTTTTATTTTCTAGATTAAGAGAAGCATCATTATCATTATTAGAAAACTATGGTAGTCAAGTAATAAAAAAGGTTAAATATCGAGATTCATTTGTTATGATTGGTCAAAAAGGACTGGCACGTGGAAAAGCTATTGAAATGGTAAGCTAAGTTTTTTTCATAATGAAATCAAAAAATGACCTATAAAATAATTGTTAAGTTCAAGTGAAGATTAGATGTAGGAAGCTGTAATTCCAAGTCCATAAAAACATAGACCCGCAGCTCCCCACTTGCTTGATCTTATTTGCATAAATATAACTAAAACTAGTGCCTGAAGCTGAAAGTTTTAGTGTTACTGTTGATTTGATGATTTTCAATGACAAATTTTGTTTACCAATTTAATGAGATTTTTTAATTTATTAAGTATCGAATGATGGGAAAGTGAACACCAAGAAATAACTGTACTGTGACTTTTTTCCTTGAGAGCAGTTAATAGATAGCTAAAACCTAAATCCTTCACCTGTTCATATACACATTGGATGTTAACTATTGGTGGAAAAAAACTCGAGTTTGGGTCTGTTGGGTAGAGTTCGACGATTCCAAAAGTTACCTGAAATTGTAGTTACGATTACTAAAAATGAGAAAAAAAGCGGTTCCGATTCGATTTTCAAAATATCACGTGGAACCAGAACTGTTAAATCATTAGATAGGTACAAAAATTTTAGAGATGTTCTGAGAAACTTCAACTGTTGAATTGTTGACATTAAAACCGCCACATATTTCAGTACTTAAACAAAACAATATGATACGTATATACTGAAATCTTTAATCTCAAAAATGAAAAAAAAAATGAAGATTTTTCGCCATAGATTTAAAAACTTTCGTATCTATCTGAGAATTTAACGGTCCGATTTTTTGGAACCGCCAAAGTCTAATGTCGGGTTCAAACAAGATCCTGATTTAGTTGTTTAGCTTTTCTCAGGTTTGAGTCCATAAAAAGCGTGACGCTACAGCTTCGCCATGAAATGGCGTATTCCAAAGTGAAATAAGTTGGTTTAGAGTTAGTAAGAATTAGTCTAGTTTTTTTTTTTTATTGAATAATATATCTTTTCACTGATCATTTCTCAACTATTATTGCAGAGAATATTCCAGATGTGATGAGAATTATCGTGAGAATGATATCAAATGCATTAGATTTTAGAAGTTATAAATAAACGAAAGAAAATTTGAATAAGTTTTGTATTACATTCATAATTAAAAAATTCTCGAATTAGAATAAGTTATACATATGTAAAATAACTTATACTAAGATAAAAAAAGATCTCATAAAAGTTTATTCTAGAAATCAATGATATCGTTAGTTCATGAAAAAGATTATATAAACTTTTTGTTTTTGTATTTTAGCATCAATCAAAAGGTAAACGTGAATTTGGTTCAGCTGCACATATTAGTGGTTGTGCTCAATTTCCTTGTATGTTTATTCATTTTTTTCTTTTGATTCTTCTAACTTATGTTTTTCTTTTAATAATCAAGTGGGTCGAATAACTCCACTTTCATTTCCAAATATGGAAGTTAATAAAGCAGGAAAAATTGTTGTTAGTAAAACTGTTGAAAATTGTGGTTTATTTCAAACATGTAAAGAAAATGAATTTGCCGTACATGTTTATACAGGAAAAGATAATAATGATGAACCAAAAATATGTGTTGATGGAAAATATGTTATTTCAAAAGGTATTAATGATGCTGGTCGTGGTTTAAATATAGTTGTTGTTTCAAATGGTAAAGAAATTATTCGAACAGGACATTTTGATACATGGAAAGATGGTAATTGAACTAGAAAATAAATTTATATTTTTATATATGTATTTTATTTTTGGTTTTAAGATAGTACAAATTTAGAAATCTTTCTTGAAAATCTTGAAGATAATGTTATTATTATTGCTGTTACATTTGATGAAGCATCATTAAAGTAAATAGTTCAATTAATTTTATCATAAATAGTTTTTTCTTCTTTTAATACTCATGATTAAAAATAACATTTGTGTATTTATTGTGCTATATATGTATTGATTTAGTTTAGGAGATTTTATTCGAAATAATGTTGGCAGTGACAAAAATAGATTGACTTATTTTTTTTTTCTTGATTATGGTTCTTGAGTATTTGTACATTATTTCAAAACGAATATTAATTATAATTTTGAAGACATAATCGTAAAATGAGTTTTTTCGTTAATTTTTTGTGTTAATATTTTATTTTAATGAAAAAAATGAGTGAGCAGAATTTTTTGTTTTAGGAAAAAAGAAAAAGAAAGAATGTTTAATTATTATCAGAGTTATAAATATGTTTAATTTTTTTCTCTATCTTTAGGCTTAGTCAGCACAGTAAAACTCTTTTTTTTGATCTTGGAAGTGCAACTATACAAAATTTGAAATATCGTGATGTTTGGGCACTTGTGGGACAAAAGGGCATTAAAGGTTTTAGCCCTTATGAAGAGGTTTGTTTATCGACGTTGTAATGATTGTTGTATCAATGTGATTATTGCTTTTATTGTAATGAATCTCTTAGAAATAGTCATCACATGATTTTATGATGCATGTAAAAGAGAAAATAGAATTCTACTCAATCATTTATTCAGATTCTCTATATTTTTTCTTAGTTATTGAATGCTTAATTATTTATTTTAATTCTGTATACATGCATGTATATGTATTTAGATTTCATATGCAGGAGTGGGAAGTACTTATGCACCTCCAATTGACAAACGAATGTGTATACCACAAACATGTGAGTGAAAACCGAAGCATTAGAAATTGGTTTTTATTTTTTATTTTTTTTTTCGAGCAGAAAAAATATTTCAATATTATCTAAAACGGAAAATAGTAACGAATAGATTATAATTATATAGAGAACGATTCATCAGAAAAAAATTGAAAGTTTCAGATTTGATGGATCTCAATGAAGAGAGTAGAAATTGTTCTAGACTCAAAATTCCTAATTACTTTCTTCTAGGAAATATCAGGGTTGTAAAAGCTAAAAATCGTGCTACTACTCGTCGGGTTTTCTCAGATGCAATATCAATTGAAATTTTTCTTACAAATATTAGACATTGTATGAAGATTTCAACGTCATCAGCAACAAGAAAACATATACTTAGCGACATTGATCGGATTTTAGAAGTAGAAAAACAACAATTGAATACTGAATCCCTTGCTTTTTTTTGTTGCTGTTTATGAAAGAAATCAAATAGTATACTTTTTTTGATATAAAATAAAAGTTTGAAAACTGTACTGCGATTGTGAAAGTATCTCTCCGATATCGATTAGTTCCGGTTACAAAAAATCGTATCTGTGTAAGACATTTTCTTAAATATACGAACAATTCTGTGATTAACTTTGTAAAAGAAAAAACAAAAGATACAGAATCAAAATCCTTGTCAATACTTTCTATTAATTAAAAATTTTAAAACTTTCAGTCTATTGTTATAGAATTATCATTAAGTATGAATTTGGAATTTTTAGTAAAAGGTGTTCCAATTCGACCTGATCCATTACCATATCGAAATGATAAACGACGTGAATTTTGTTCACGTTATGATGGTTATGGAGATTTTTGTACTGGTAAATATACTGTTGTTCATTGATTATTATTTTGAAATAAATTATTCTTTGTTTCTTTGTTAAGGTACAAATCTTGATAAAAATTTAGTTGCAATTCCATTAATAAATAAAACATTAGAAGACAATCCAATTTATTCAACACCAATTTTAATTATTGCTGGTTTATTTTGATTTTGATTTCATTTTTGTAAAATAGAAAGTTTTTTTTTTTTTTTTTCTAAAGGTATTTCACATAATTCTCTTCGAATGTGTTTGGAAACATTATTAATGCAACCAGGAATTAATGTTGAAAATGTTATTGTATGTTTTGAGACCTTTTTTTTCTTGTTTTTTATTTAAAAAGAATTTTATTGATCGGTGTTTTTTATTGTTTAGGTTGCTGTTGATGAAAAATTTACTGAACCACTTGCTTTAATTGATCTATTTGGATTTCGTGGTGAAAAAACATCGAATAGTTCGACATATATTGGTATGATAAAATATTTATTTTATAAATAAAATATGAATATATATATATGATATTTTAGAACATTATGAAAAATCATTGAAAAGAGTTTGGGAAATATATTCGAATAAAGTAAAATAAAATTGAAATTATTTAATTTTGTAGAAACAAAATCAAAAAAGAAGATAATTTTGATTTAGGATAAAATAATTGTTATTGAAGAAGATCTTATTTTATCACCAGATTTTCTTTATACACTTGCATTATTAAGTGAAACATTTCGAAAAGATGAAACAATTGGTGCAATTCAAATGTGGAATCCGAATTGTAATATTTTCATTGATCTGTTTTTGTTTTTTTTGTTTTTTAAAACTTATTTTGATCTTTTATAATCTTAGCTTATGATATTATTAATGGTTCAGTCGAATTAATTTATCGTGTTGATCAATTTTATGGTTTAGGTTATTTATTAAGACGTTCATTTTATGAGAAAAATATGAAAGATTCATTTAAAGATTGTTGTTCGAAACGGTAGATTTGTTTTTTAATAAATAATTTTATTTAAAAAAAAAAAGGAAACTTTTTTGTTTTTTTTTCTTCTAGAGTTTGGGAAAAATGGACATTTTCTGATACACCATCATCATCATTTTTAATGCCTGATGTTTCAAGAGTATTTCGACGACCTATAGATGGCAATCGAATTAATACAAAACATGTTGAAACACTTTTTAATCGAAGACGAAGAACATGTTTGTAAGTATTATTGAAAAATAATTAAAGACTATTTTTACCAAAAAAATTTTAACAGGAAAAACATGAGATTTGTCTGATGTTGTTGGAATCATCTCGTTTTGATTTTATGACTTCTCAATGAATAATCTTTAAACAGGATTCTTTTTTGTTTTGATGATACTGCTCTTTATATTGTGTACAGTCAGATCGACAAGTTCTCATAGTACTAGAATTTGCACTGATTCACTGATCGTACAATCAAACTAGGTCAAGTGTATTCAACAACCGGCAAATTTTTCTAGACATAACACATTTCGAAATGTTTATACTTTGACAAATATTCAATATAGTCAGATAGATATATGAAAAACAAAACCCAATATAAAGAAAGAAATTATATCAAATTGAACAAAAAAATGAGTAAATCTGATGATTTATTAGTCAATGACTGTTTTCTGGAATTTTAATTTCTACGAGCATTACTATTTTTGTTGATGACATTGATGTTAAAAGTCATATCGAGGCTAAGCATAATAATTTTGATATACAAGTGTTTGTTTTTTATCAAAAATATTACTTTTTGAATAAACTTGATTTCCGATGTGCTTAATCATTTCTTTGTACAATTTATCACCAAATATTAAAAATAATTTCTCTTTCTATATATATATATATATATGTTAACTATTCTTCAGTTTGTCAATGTTGTTAAAATATGATAGGATCAGAGTCCTGTGAGACAATTCCGAATGTTCCCCACAGGATGGAACATTTTGGAAATAAAACAGGATTCAAGACTCGAAAAAAGTTTGTCCTGGAGAACTTTAGATGAAATAGGGTTTTTTTTGCATCAATATCTATCAATAAAAAATTCTTTCGAACAATTAGAATAATCATAAATTATTAGAATGTTTTGTAAAGTAAATATTTATCATCTGTTTTATTTAATCTCTAATCAAAATGATTTTATTGTAATAAAATCGAATTATTTCAATTTTTGATTAAACTATTTCTTATTTGTTTTTTTTTTGCAAACTAGAAATCCATTTCCACCATTATCAAATATTGATATACTTCGAAAAGATAAATATGATGCACAATTGACTAAATCAGTAAATTCTGCAACATTAATCAAATCATCGGAAGGATGCGAGACAATCAATAATAATGTGTACAATTTAATACAAAGTCAAAATACGTATGACAAAAAAAAAACACATTTTTATTGTTGTTTGAAAATATTTATTTATTCCTCTCAATAGATCTAATACATTTAAATACGTCTATCATCAAGAATCATTAAATGATGTAGCATCTCTTCTACCAATTTTGTCTTGTTTTGAACTTTTTCCATATGAACCACTTGGCCTTTATCATGGTATATTACGTTTCAATTCAAATCAATATCATTTTTATCTTGTTGGATCAAAATCACCTCATTATGCAAATGTTTAAAATTCTATTTAAAAAATTTATGTTCTTTGTGAATGAATCTCTCGGTTGTTTTGTTTTATTTTCTTTTTTCTTGTTTTTCTATATTATCGATTATATCTTCAATTAATATTGTAAAAGATGATTATCTATCCTAGTCGATTTACAAACATCTATAATTTGAAATTTTTAATAATCTACTTTCTTAACTAAATCTAAGTCGATTCAATGTCAATCATGTATTACATTCCGTGTGTTGTCTATGTTTTTCTTTTCTTAATCAATATTTGAAATAATAATGAAAGAAGATTTCTTGTTTTCAATTTGTTTGTGTCCCTTTACTATTGTTTTTATTCATAATTATTTAAAACATGTTGTTATTTCCTTGTCGTTTACTATTTCTAATTTATCTGTGTACGCGTGAGAATAAACACTGAAAATATTATTGATGATACAAAACATCACTTTGATAGATAGATATATATATATATATGTGAGCGTCCAAACTGAGATAACGTCCAATGTCGGATCGAGAAAGAAGTTGTCGTTAAAACTTCCATTAGTTTCTAGATAGATGTTGGTGAAATATATTAAAACAATGATATTTCAGATATTGCAATCATCAATAAACAAAAATTAAGTTCAGATTCATAATAGTTATGAATAACTTTCTATAAAAGCTGTTCTTCTATAGAAACTTATTTATAACTTCATGAATTCTACTTTAATTTCTTTATCGATGATTGGATCACTTGAAATGTCATTGTTTCAACACAATCCATCAACATCTATCTAGAGACTAATGGAGTTTTTCATGAAAACTTCTTCTGCAATGTGATATTGAACGCGTCTAATGTGAGAATCTCAAGTTAACTTACGAGTAAACTTCTTCTGCTGTCCCTTCTGATTTCAATGATGTTTTTTGTCTATAGATATTTTACAATGTTCTTATAAAAATTCTACAAGGAGATTTAGTTTATTATTGAGATTTGGTTAAGTTATCGAATTTTGATCTGAAACGTTGTATAAATAGAGAACTCAATTAGACTAGTTTTCATAAAAAAATTTAGAAGTTTTCAACAAAATCGCGCCGAAATATAACACATTCAAAAAAAAAACGCTTATTAGAATACTATGTAGTATCTGTAGACAAGAAAGATCATTAAAATTGGAAGGAGACAGCTGAAGAGGTTCTCTCATTAGACGGATTTGAGATTGGACATTAACATACATAAATATATATTTACATGTTATTATCTTTGTTTTGTTTTTTTTTTCATTTTTACACACTGATAAGAAGTAATTGCACAAGCATGTCATTTGTAAAGTGAATGGCTCCTATAACACGTCTAAGTTTGAAAAGAGAAAATAATAATATATCCAATTCAACAGATGAAATCGAAGGTAATAATGATAAAAAATTATTAGAAATTAAAAAACAAAAGACAATAACAACTAAAAAACCCAAATCACCTTCCTTACGTACTCAATTAAGTGCTATGACAATACCAGTACTTAAAAATATTCTTCGTTTTAATCATCAAAATCCTTTTGGAAATAAATCTGATCTTCTTTCACGTATTATTTATATGGTTGGACATGGTATCTATCCAAGATGTCCAAAATGTACTAGAGGTCGATTAAAACCACGTTTACATCGTCGAAAAAATCAATCGAAATATTATTGTCCAGGTTTTCCAAATAGTTTTCGTGCTCCTGCTTCATATCATCAATGTGATCATGTAATAGATGAATGTAAAAAAGAAAAATTTCGTTTTCCATCTAATTTAAATTTAAAAATAAATAAGTAAATAAATGTAATGATTGCTTTGTTTTTTCTTATTCTAGATAAAATTAAAATAAACATAGTTTAATTTCAGTTATGAATCTCCTTCGATTATGTCATCGGTAAAAATTAAAATTTAATTATTTATTTATTTATTTATTGATATTTTTCAAATAGAATTATCAATCCAACACGATTTTCATTAAATCGTCAATTACAAAAATTATCTATTGCACCTAAAACACCTTTAACATCTCTTTCGGTTGGTCAAGAATTAAATGGTTATATTGTAAAAGAGGTAAAATTAAAAATCAACAATTATATATCAACTATTCGTTTTTTGTTTTTAGATAACACCTATACCAGAATTTCGTTTAACTGCTATTAAACTTCAACATAAATTAACTGGTTGTCAACATTTACATATTGATCGTGAACATAAAAATAATGTTTGGAGGTTAGAGAAGAAAAGTTCATGTTTTCGTTAAATCTTTATTGGTTTTTTTTTCGTTTTTTATAGTGTTGCTTTTCAAACAACACCAAAAGATGATACAGGTGTTGCGCATATTCTTGAACATACAGCACTTTGCGGTTCAGAGAAATTTCCATGTCGTGATCCATTTTTTAAAATGACTAATCGTAGCATGGCTACATTTATGAATGCTTTTACAGGTATTTGTTCAAAAAAAAAGGAACAATAGTTTTTATTTTCAATATACCAGGGGTACCTCAAAAGTTTTTTTTTGTCAGTTCTTTAGACAACTATTCGACAGTTGGTTTTAGTATTGTTTTTCAAACCATTGCGCTTCATGCACAATGCACTTGTGCATTCGATTAAACTAACGAGGGAACATTCCCAGATGTCGGAGCGCTTTGAAGTCGGAACTTAGCGCATCTTGTAGACCTTAGTGAGCTGTGTCTGTGGTAAAAAGAGTTCATGCTTATGACTTGTTTCTGAGGAGCTCAAACGTTTTTAGTGGATTTTCGCTGTAGGGCTTTAGTTTTGCAGCAAGATCATATTTTCGAATTTCGATCTGAAACTTTGCCCAAATCAAGATCTCAATTAGACTAGCTTGTATAAAAAATTTCAGAATTCTTGGATTAAGACTCTCCGAGATACGAAGCTCTCAAAAAATACATGCTGTGTATACTATATGTGGAAAACGGCCTATATCTTGAAAGCTCCATATCGCGGAGAGACTTAGTCCAAAAATTCTGAAATTTTTTATGCAAGCTAGTCTCATTGAGATCTTTATGGGGGCAAAGTTTCAGATCGAAATTCGAAAATATGGTCTTGCTGCAAAACTAAAGCCCTACAGCGAAAATTCACTAAAAACGTTTGAGCTCCTCAGAAACAAGTCATAAGCATGAACTCTTTTTACCATAGACACAGCTCACTAAGATCTACAAGGTGTGCTAAGTCCCGAATTCAAAGCGCTCCGGCATCTGGGAATGTTTCCTTGTAAGAAAAAAGAATTTTTGGAAGTGTATAAATTTCTCGATTATTTTTCGTTCGATAAATTTTCGTAGGCCTATTGTACCACTAGTCTGAAAGACATGTAAAAATACAACGAATCTCGAGACTTCTAAATCTAAAATATTGTACATAGTCCTAAATATATCCAAGCATTATATTAGAATAGTGGTATTGAAATCACAGATTTTAGAAGAGTTGGACGACAAAAAACAAATTTTGTCGTGCTCTATGTATATCGTTGAATTATTATTTTTCTAGCTAGCGACTGGACAATGTATGCATTTTCTACACAAAATCAAAAAGATTATTTTAATCTCATGTCTATTTATCTCGATGCTGTTTTACATCCAAAACTTGATGAATATGATTTTATGTAAAATGATAATTTTATTTGAAAAAAGAAATACATATATACAGTTGTTTTTTTTGTTTTTTGTTAAATAAAGGCAAGAAGGTTGGCGTCTTGAACATGAAAAAATTGATGATCCAACATCACCAATTGTTATCAAAGGTGTTGTATTTAATGAAATGAAAGGTGTTTTTGTAAGTTAACTAATTGATTTTATTTTTCTGAGTTTAAACTAGTATTCTTCATTTTATATAGAGTAATAGTCATCAAGTTTATGCTCGTCAAGTACAAAATAATTTAATGCCAACATCAACATATCAGTATGAATCAGGTGGTGATCCAGAAAAAATTCCTATATTAACATGGAATGCACTTAGAGAATTTCATACAAGACATTATCATCCATCTAATGGAAGGTATGAAAAATACAATAAAAAATTTTTAATTTTTAATAATTAAATTTTAATTAAAATTAGATTTTTTACATATGGTTCATTTCCATTATCAGATACACTTGCATTTCTTAATGATTATCTACATCATTATGAACAGCAAAAAACTAAAGCAATATCATCAAAACTTATTGAAGAATCTCATTGGAATAAATCACGATCAGTAAATATAACTTGTTCACCACAATCATTTGTTGTTGATCCAAATAAAACAACAACTGTTAGTGTTAGTTATTTACTTGGAAGGTAAAATAAATAATTATTCATTTATTAAATATAATATATATTTCTTTTTTGTAAATTTTTAGTATACGTAATACATGGGAGACGTTTCTTTTGAATATTGTTTGTTCATTACTTGTTGAATCAGAAAACTCTCCATTTTATAAGAAATTAATTATACCAAATATTGGTAATAGTTATTCACCTGATACAGGGTAAATTTTAATTCTAATCAATTTGATAAGAATTTTAAAGATGTTTACTATATAAATTTTGTTTCATAATCCTTTCATATAACGATATATAAACAATACTAATGGATTATTGAAAAGTAATTTGACAAAATGTTTGTTTGTTTTTCGACCTCTTGTAAAGGAGCCTGTAGAAATTTGAATACATTAGGTTAATATCTGAATTTTTGTATTTTTTTTTTCAAATGTGACTTCAAGATTTTCTTAGTAGAACTTCTGGTGTTTGAGAGTTATGAAACAAGTTTTTTTCGATGCTCGTAAATTGAGTAGACCAAAACTTACTCAACGTAGAAGCAAAAAAATATTTCAAATACAGCAAATGAAAGAACAAATGTTTCTCTGTAAACTGGAATACTAATGATTATTTTGCTTTAAAGCATGTGCCAATAGTGAGTAATGCCGTAAAATATATCGTGCCAATTTAGACAAGTTTCTCAATGTCTATGAAAGATAGACTTACAAAGTGAGGTCAATCATTCCTGAATGATTGTTTTGGAACTCTTCATTCTTATATCACTTTCTAGAGAACAATTTCGCCTTTAATTTTATGCAATTGACATTATACCGTATGCAGGAAGGGAGATTCAATTGCTTCAAAAAACGTGAATTTTCTCTGTTCAAACTAAATTTTCGCACCTCTAAAAGGTCGACTCATAACTTCCAAGCCAAAAGTCTTAGAGAAATGTATTTATATTCAGAAACACTACAAAATTTTGATTCAAACTCAATGTTTTTCAAATTTCTACAGGCTCCTTTAAGAGAGTAAAAAAATGAACAAACATTTTGTCAAATTACTTTTCAATAACCTCCCATTAGGAAGAATAAAATCAGAGAGTATTTCAAAGAAAGTCAAGAAAATTTTCTATTGAACTTTTATTGACTATGAGAGCATATGAAATATTCTTTATATCTGTTAGCTTATTATTATTATTAACATAATGCTAATATTCACAGACTAAAGTAATATTATTAATTTTGACTAGTATGAATTCTTCATCAAACAAATAACTATAATAAATATTAAAATAACATGTTGAAAAAATCTCAGAAAATGTTCTTATTAATTTAAAACGACAAAGTCATTTTTAAAGAAATCTAATAAATCTCTACTGATTTAGATTTCATCCTTTTTTTCTATATGATAAACGTTTTTTTTTCTTCTACGTGAAGTTTATTACTTTTGAATTAATTAATTATTCTAGTTTTGGACGTCATACACTAAATACAACATTTCATGTTGGTTTACAAGATATATCCAAAAACGATGTTGATCGCGTTGTTAAAATTATTGATGAAACATTTCAAGAAGTTGCGAGGTAAAATTTAAGACACACCTTTTTTTTTTTTTTTTTTTTTACAAAATTTATTCTTTTAGAAAAGGTTTTGAACAAAGTCAAATTGATGCATTACTTCATCAATTTGAACTTGGTATCAAACATCAAGATGAAAATTTTGGCCTGAAAATTATTTTAGTTCGTATAGATTATATATTTTTAATTTTCTTTTTTCGAAATAAATATTTCAATTAATCTAGGGTTTAATATATTCTTGGATACATGATACAGATCCAATTGATAGTCTTCAAATAACAAAATATCTTGAAAAATTTAATGATGAAATGGCAAAAAATCCTCGATTACTTCAAGATATTGTTGAAAAATATTTTCTTGTTCGCATTAAAAAAAAAATACTAAATTGAAATAATTTATTTAGTAAAATTTTTGTTTTCTTTCATAGAAAAATAATCATAAATTAATAGCAACAATGAATATTGATGAAGAATATTCGGAAAAGAAAAAACAAAAAGAATCACAACTTTGTCAACAATTAATATCTCAATGTAAAGATAAACAATTAATATATGAAAAAGGTTTATATTTTATTTGTTTTTGTTTTTTAACTTAAAAAAAAAAAGATTTTGTTTTTTTTAGGTTTAGAATTACAAAAACGACAATCTGCACCTCAGAACGTTGATGTTTTACCTACATTGTCTATTACTGACATTGATAAGAAGGCTATACGTGTGCCAATAATACAAGGACAAATAGGTGCATATTTTATATATTTAATGTCTTCACCATTTTATTTATTGTAGGTAATACTTATGTCCAATTATGTGAACAACCAACAAATGGTATAACTTATTTTCGTTGTTTACTTAATACATTTGAATTACCAAATGAATTAAAATCTTACTTACCATTATTTATTAATATTCTCACAAAGTGAGTATTTATTATTTAAAAAGAAAACTATCGAACAAAAAAGAAAACGAAGTGAATCTTTTATTTCTTTTCTTTTTCTTAAAATGATGGTGGTAAAAGTATAGGTGGACCAGATACACCATTATAATTAATACCGTGATTTAAACAAGCAACATAAGCCGGAGGTTGACTATGTTTATAACGTGGTGGACCAATTGCTTGCTGTTGCTGTTGCTGTTGCGGTTGATGTTGATATTGATAATGATCTTCACTAGGTATTTGAAGAACTGGTGGTGCAGTTCGATTATATTGTTGTTGGTGGTGATGCTGTCGTTGAAGATGTGACATTTGTCGTGAACGATTTGTATATGGTTGCGATTGTTGTTGATAATGATATGGGTCTCGTCTTATAGAAATTGGATTATTATCGGACGAATATTGACCAAAAAATAAAGGTTGTGGATCAGGTTGAGATTCAAATATATGATTATCAATAAGAGGTAATTGAAAATGTTGTTGTTGTGATTGATGTTGTTGAGGATGATGTTGCTGTCGTGGTGGTGGTGGTGATGGTGATGATGAAAGTAATGATGATATATCAATTTGTTTATTTTGTTGTTGAGATTGTCGATTATAATTATTAAAAAATTCCTTAAATTGTGCTGATGATGACCAAAAATCATTATTTGTTGTATCACTAATTGATAATGGTTGAGCCGGTGTTATGTCATGCTGTTCAAGAAGACGATCAAGGGATATTTGAGGCCATGGTCCATTTGATGATGAATCATCAGATGTTGTACCATTACCCAATAGTTCGGGTGAAAGACGAAATTGTGTATCAAACATAGATTTTTTTTTTGTTTTTTTCTCGTTGTATATTAAAAAAGTCCGAAGAAAAAAAAAGCTTCGCACAGGTAAATGTGCAATTATAAAATAAAAAATAAAAAAAGAAAAGAAAAAAAAAAGAAAGAAAAACAGAAAGAAAGAAAATATGTGAAGCGTATCATTGAAATGTAATCATTCTTTTGTTTAATACGACATATATATTATTTTTGGTTTCTTTAGACTTGGTTCAAAAAAATTTAATTATCTTCAATTATCAGAACAAATTGATTTAAAAACTGGTGGTCTTAATGTATCAACACATTTAGATGAAAGTTCATTTCAAATTGAAGATTATGAAGAAGTAATTTAAAATAAAAGAAATCTTTTTTAAAATTTATTTTCATTTAAATTTAGGGTCTTTTACTTTCATCATATTGTCTTGATAGAAATATTAATGATATGTTTGATCTTTGGGAAGATATACTTCTTCATTTTAAGTATGAAGTTTATTCGATTTAGTTTTTTGAATAATTATTTTTTGTTTTTAAAGTCAACAACTTCATCAATATGATCGTTTAAAAACATTAATTAAAGGTCAAGCATCAGCTTATGCAAATAGTGTTCATGAATCTGGTCATACATTTGCTGTTATACATTCAGCTAGTCAATATGGACCTGTTGATCAATTATCAGAAAATCTATTTGGTTTAACACAAGTTAATCGTATGCAAGAAATAGCTCGTATAGAAAATTTTGATAATCTAACAAAAAAATTAAGTCAAATTGCAGATTATATTTTAACTAAGAATTCTTTACGGTAAATTTAATTGTTTTGGTTTGTTTTTTTTCTTTCAAAATAAATATTTATTTTCTGTCTTTTCTTTTTTTTAAAGTTGTGCATTTAATGGTGAATCAAATGGATTAACAAATGGAATGAAACGACTTGAAACATTTCTTGATCGACTTCCAGGATCATCAACAAATAAATTACAATTAATACGTCATGAAAATGCACAAAATTATCTTAAAAATGATTTTCAAATTGGACGAAATAAATTACCATCGAAAACTCATTTTGAAATGCCATTTGATGTATTCTATTCAGGTCAATGTTATCAAAGTGTACCATATAGTCATGAAGATTATCCTCGGTAAATTTTTATTTTTATTATTAATTAAAATTACAACATAATTTTTATTTATATAGTTTATTAATATTAACAAAATTAATGTTTAATAAATTTTTATTACGTGAAATTCGTGAAATAGGTGGTGCATATGGTGGTGGAGCATATCTACGTGGAAATTTATTTTCATTCTTTTCATATCGGTAAGAAAGTACAGAATGGTTCAAAAGTCACTTTAACGAGAAAAAATTAAATATCATCGACTTATTTTGATCAAATAGACTGATTTTTTCATTACTGAGAAAAGTATGTTCACAGTAGAGCCTATCAAATCCAACTTTTTCGGATTCTGTTAATAGAAAAATTCCAGATCCGAACGCGATCTGACGAGCTCTAGTTCACAGTTTATATTGATAAGAAATATGTAGACAAAAAGAAAATAGTTATCTTTTCACGAGTTGTAAAAAAAAAAACAATAAATTTTCGTGGCCAAAATAAACGTCACATTTCTTAACTGATTGATCTCATATTTATATCATAGATACATGTTTTGTTTTCCAATATGCTCTGAAATTTCAGCCATAAAAATCGAGAAATCTGTTGAGGAAACTGCAAAAGTGTCGTATGTGTTCTTGTATGGCTAAAACTAGAATTCATTATAATATTTATCTTGTTTATCATTTCTTGGTATATTTAAATTCTTGTATAATATTTAATTAACTATTGAGATAGTTTGAACGTGAGAATATTTCTGTAATTTGAAAATTTAAATGAAACCAGAAATGAAAACGTGATAATGATTACAAGAAAATTTTTTTGGAGCCTCATAAGAGTAGATGGAACACATTAACAATTTTTGCAACAAACTCTCATCGTTTAGGACTGAAACTTTCAGAACTCAAATCAGTAGTAAAAAAAATCAGTTTACTTAGTTAAAACATGCCAACGATATTCAATTTCTTCCTCGATAAAATGACTTTTAGGCCGCTCTGTATAAAAAAAACTTAGTATTTGGATGATTTTTTTTATTTTTTAGAGATCCACATTCGGTTGAAACACTTGAACGATTTAATCAATGTATTGATTATTTTGTTAATGGAAATTTTACTGATAAAGATGTTGATGAAGCTAAATTAGCAACATTTCAAAAAGTAGAGCATCTTTTTCTTTTAAATTTTACTTTGAAAAAAACAAACAAATGATTTTTTATATTTTTACTTTGTAGCTTGATAAACCAAAATCACCTGGTAGTCAAGGTATGACACGATTTTTACATGGAATTGATGATGAAATGCGACAAAAAAATCGTGATCGAATATTTGCTTGTCGAAAACAAAATCTAATTGATGTAACACAAAAATATTTACTTAAAAAACCTTATGCAGCTACAATACTTGGTCCAGATAATCCACAATTTGATGTTGATGAACAATTTCGTCAAGTGAAAAATTCTCAAATGCCATCAATTGGAGATTAAAATGACGTTTCTTGTTTTTTCTTTTTGTTTATTGTATTGTTTTCTTTAAGTTTATTTAGATAAATAAACATATATTCAACTTTAGTAAATAAAAATCATGTATATGTGCACTTTCTAGATGGCATCTAATATAGAAATAGAATTAAATGAAACTCAGTTGAGGTAGATTGTTTATGATAGTTTGTAATTGTTTATTATTGAAAAATTCCTAGAGTTAGTTCTGTTCTTAATAAAGACAATAAGAATTATGGAAAGAAGAATTTAATTGATGGAAATGAGGAAACATGTTGGAATTCAGAAGCAGTAAGATTTCTTTTTGTTTCTTTTTTTTTTTTGGTTTTTAATATAATTTTTATATGCAATGTTTAGGGTTCTCCACAATGGATACAGATTACTCCTATGAAATGTATTTCATTGAATAGTATTGCTATTAAATTTCAAGGAGGTTTTGCAGCAAAACGATTTGTTATTGAAGATCGACAACAAGATGGAACATTTACATCTATTGCTGAATTTTATCCTGATAATCATGGAAAATTACAAATATCCTTTTTGTTTTTTTATTATATTTATTATTCTTATATGTTAGATATTTGGTTTTTTTCTAAGTTTAAATTCCTTAACATTAGATAAACGTCTTTCGTCTTCCAACAGCGCATGTTATCGATCAAATTCCATTTCGATTAACATTTTATGATAGTTATGATACATTTGGAAGAATTATTATTTATGTTTTAAAAATTTATGAGAATAAATAAAATAGTCAAAAAAAGGTGAAACGTTAATTGAATCTTCAGAATTGATAAATTTAAGTAAACAATATATGCTTGTTGCGAATAAAATATTGACATCGTCGGACAAGATCGTAAATTTGCTACTTCCTTAGGTTTCACATTCAATAGATTAGAAAGATAGAGCATAAAATTCTGTACATTTCTATATATTTAGCTTTTTTGTTTTAGTCAAGGTAAAAAAAAATTTCCAAAGGCTAAATAGTCTTCGAGAAATTTTTTTTTTATTTCGACTTAAACATAAAATAAATACACAGAAATGTGTAAGCGGCAGATTTACTATCTTATGTGGTGGTATCTTTTCTCGAAGAACTTTTTTTAAGTATTTTATTTTTTGTATGCTTATCATTGTTGATAAGATTAAACATTACGAAAGCTATAGCAATGTATAAATTTAATTCAATGATTTCGAATTATATTTGTTGAATGATAATTTATATAAGTGAAAAGTCACTAGTTTCTTCAGTGTAATTACACTTATCATTTTGGAATAGGAAATGCAAGCTAAATATTATCTATTCGTCGACTAACTGCATAGTAAATTGTTTTTTCAATACAATCAAATTATGAAAATTTCTTATTGTCGGAATGAGAAATAATACATGGGTATGAAAGCACATTATGTCACCATCCATAAATTAATAAATAAGATTTCTAAATGCTCTTGTATATAGCCTGTTAATTTGTGATCAAACAACGTGATAGAATAGCTATAGACAAAACGGTAGTTATATACACAGCTTATCTCAAATAAGGCTGAACTATACTAAAAGAAAGATGATGACAATCATACACAATTGGAATATAACTCGTTTTTATTCTGAAAGAAACTGACATTATGAAAAATTATAAAACCATACCTATTAAGCAACTATTCGTAGATGTATGAAAAGTAATTATCTAGTAGCATATTCAAGATGTACAATAAAATTTGATTCTCTCAAGCAACATTCATTTCTAACATGAACCCATACTGATGGATATTGACATTCATAGTACATGCACTAGATATCTAGATCTACTCTATACTAAAAAGTTTACCTCTGTACAAATTATCGTTTTACAGATGCAAGTAACGTTAAAACCTAAAAACGAATAATTTTAGCAATATTTTTCATGTTTTATTAGCTATGTTGTCTATAATGTACTGATTGAAGAAAGACTTACAAATCAAATTTGTTTAAAGAAAACAAACAAGTCAAAATTGCGTATCGATATTTATATGTCTGCTCTCAATCTTAATTTATCATTTGCTGTAACTGATCGTAATATTCGCTGACCTTATAAAGTATTTAACAGTCTCTCGGTATCGATTATTTAATCTAAATTGCAAGATTCAAAACTTTCAATGGATTAGTTTTATTTATTTAGTTAAAGAATTGTACTTTGATTCTAAAAAATGCCAACTATTCATTAGAGCACTTAGTTACTCTGAGGATCATACTGCCTTTCCCCTATAATTCATTTCCAAGTTTTGTTGTTTCTATACGTTACTATGAACAAAGAAAAAATGATCATACGATTCTTTTTCTATTCATAATCATGTAAGAAAATAACAGAAACGCAAGAATGACATGCAGAAAAGTAAAATTTACTCGTAGTGAACGAGTGATCATATGATTACAATACAATTTTTTTTTCTGTCTACTAATACAAAACAATAATTAAACAATTTTAATGATTTTTACATTACTACTATTTCAGGAACAATAACAAATATAAATCTAAAATTCTAATTAGCTTACAAAAGAAGTTCTCTAACTTATTAATCACTTTTGAGTCGAAACTATGTGCATTCTGTAGACTCAAATGAACTATGAATATCCTGAAAAGAGTGATTGCTGCGGATATACTGCACCTTTACGGATTTTTTTTTAAATGAATATTGTCGTAACAGAAAAATCAATTTTCGAATTTCAACTGGAAACTTTGCATAGAGACAAGCTTTAACAAGAATAGTTTATTGTGAATGTTTCAAGTCGTTTGATTTACTTCTATCCTGAAATAAGAACATCAAATCTGCCGGTTTATATGTGCAATATAAAAGACGTTCTATTACTATAGTTGTATCTTAGGATAGGAACAACTATAAGATCTAAAACATTCACAAAAAAAACCTATTCTTGTTAATGCTTGTCTTTAAGCAAAATTTCAAGTCGAAATTCGAAAATCAGTTTTTTTGCTTTACAAGGGATTCATTTAAAAAGTATCATAACAGTGCAATATCTCTACATCAATAACTCTTTTCAGGATATTCATAGTTCATTTAGGTCAATATAATGCACATAGTCTCGATTCAAAATCGATTTATCAGTTGAACGACTTCTCTTGTTAAATTAGACATAGACTATAAATATCAACCTTCATCAGTATAGACTCATGTGAGAAAAGAACATTCCTTGAAGAAATCGAAATCTATTGTATACTCTTTATCTACAATAACTCTACTATACATTTTCTTGCTTGTGACATGTTTTTTAGAATGTCATATATGATACGGTCGCAGATGTATAATATTATGATACTTTTGAAACATTTTAATTTCATCAGACACTCTTATTAATTCATGTATATTTCTTAACATATCGAGAAAAGTTCTTTTATGCAACGATTTGATTACTTATAAGTAAAACATAATATTTTAAAGTTTTAGTAATTTTTCTATAACAAACTAATATTTAATATAAGATGAATTCTTTTTGAGAATATAGATATAAGAAGACGAGAATAATATTAATGAGAAATCCAATTTTTTGTGAGACTCAAAATTTAAATTAACTATATTAAAACAAATCTAAATCTATTGAAAAATTTGACTAGTTTATTATTGATTTTTTTGCTAGTTGTTATTCTTCCAAGGTCTTGATCACATCCAAGTTTCTTGTTTCTTTCTTCAGAACATAAATTACTATACATTACTTTAAACGAAACCTCATCGACCATACGCCACACATAGTTAAGCTTTTTTCAAGTGTAACATCATTATTTGAGTATATACAATGTCATATTGCTTTTCTTTTTTTCCTTTTTTTCTTACTTCTTTTTTTTTTTGAACTAATATTTTCAATATTTATTTGTTTAATGATTTCATTTTTTATGTTAAAAAAAAAAAGAAAAAGAAAAATTGGGACAAAAGATTCATGTAATGGCCGATTGATCGAACAAAAAGAATTGAGAGGTAAAAAAAAAAAGAAAATTTAAAATACACAGTTATTGTTGAAGAGGGAAATGGATCGTGGAAGGAAAAATGTGCACTTGAAACTGGTGAGAAAAAAAAAGAGAAAAGCAAATGAGAGAAAGATTGGTTACTGACTTTTGTTTGTTGTTGTTGTTGTTGTTGTTGTTTCGTCTAATGTATGATTGCCCATTTCATTTCATCGGTTTCTCCATTTACATTTTTCTTTTCTTTTATTTGTATAAAACGAACCGTTAAATCATTTGTAATTTTGTTACCATTTTATTCTTTATATTTTATTCCTTTGAGTAAATTATACAAATCGATATGCGTTTAAAAACTCTTCGTAAAGAAAGACCAGCTTTTGAAAATGAAGGTAATTTTTATATTTAAAATTAAAAAAAAAGAACAAGAAAAATTTCAATATTCTATTAAATATTCTTAGGTACTGTCATCAGTGGCAGTCGAATGGATCTATCTAATAGTGAATATAAACCATCTAAATATCGTACAAATAATGCATTTGCTTTACCAACATCTCTCAATAATGATTTATGTTCTAATAGTATGTCAATATCGAATCCTGTTCAGGAAATGGATATTCATGCTTCTCAACAAACATTAACACATCAAAAATTAAATCAACCACTACCATCTCAAACAACACGTACATCATCATATCAAGCTATTGAAGCTGCCTATCTTGAACATGGTATTCGTATACATTTAAATCCAACAACTGCTGCAGCAGTAACTCAACAACAACAACAACAACAACAACAGAATCAAACTGCATCAATAATAACAGGAAATACAACGGAAAGAAAATCTGCTAGTACTACTCAACGAAGTAAAGCATTTGTTCATCGAAATCCAAGTCGATCATCAAGTGTACTACATTATACAACTACTCTACAAGATCCATATCAAGATTCACGACCATTTAGTGAATTACAACAAACATCTACAACTGATTTTGGAGAAACACAAACACATAATGTTTCTTATACTCAAACAACTGAAAGTGAAAAAAAATTACATTTATCAGAACAATTAGAAAATAATTATTGCGCATCATCAATTCTCCTAAGTGAACCTTCTGATCATATAATCATACCTACACAAATACCTATTACAAATGACACAACATCAACAATAGCAACAGTACTTGATAATGATCCTGATCTCGCTTATATGACTTCATTATTACAAACAACTAATGGAGATGCCTTTCGTGGTAAATAAATAAAAAAAAAATGACGATACAATTTTTTTAATGATTATTATAGATATAATTCGTCGTCGAGCTGGTCTTCGTCCAACACTTGCTGTTCATCGACATCCACCATCAACAATAACAACAACAACAACAACAACAACAACAACGACGACGACGACGACGATGGCTAATTCTAAACAACAGGAAAAATCATCTGTTGTAAATTCATCGCCTACTAATCATCAAAAATCATCATTACGTCATTCTACGATAACTGTTCCTCCTCCAACAACAACAACAACAACAACAACACCATCGAAAAAAAAAGTTGAAAAAGATATTCTTAAACATGCAACACGTATTCGAGCAAGTCAATTAAAAGATTATTTTATTAATCATGACATAGTTTCAAGATCAAATCTAAGTCACCATGTATCATCAGTTTCGAATTCACCAACAAGAACACATTATTCGAATAAACAAAATAAAACTAATAAACCATCAAAATCTATTAGTCTCGTAAGTACAAAATAATTACTCAAAATAAAAATTAGCGAAGTAAAAAAAAAAAAAATTTAATTTTCTTTAAACTTAAAAAAAATTAAAACTTATCGAATAAAAAACAACATATTTATGCGTATTTTTCTTTTGCCATTTTTCAATGAACATGAAGAATATTGATGACAAAAATCAAGTAATTAAATAAGCACAGATTTTTATTCACTTGGTTTTTCATTTTCATTAGTACTGAAATGCACAATCATAAAGAGTTGTTTTTTTCTTCTATCATTGATTTCAATTCTATTCTTTTATTTTTGCTTAGGAACCACTCGAACTTCTCTTAGCACCTGCACATCGTTCATCATCACTACGAACACCGGCACGTGTAACTTCATTGTCATCGCATGTTTTTCCTGATATTAATCATAATAATCATCAAGAAAATGTAAAGTCTTCTAAAACATACACTAAATCACCTAAAATCTCCTTCGTTGAAAGTAATAACACTACACAGAATGAAATAACAACAATTTTTTCCTTAATTGAACACTCAAATTCACCATTATTAAATGATGAGAATTTACAATTAATGAAAACTTCTCTATTAGGTATGATCTCAAATAATAAAACTCGTCAATCAAATTCAATTGATTCTGGCTGTTATGATCAAAGTAGTAGTAGTGGTGATGTACAAAGTATAACATCTTCAAGTATTAATCAAGCATCAAGCCCAATACCATCAGCACGATTCGCAAGTGCAAGTACACGTCGTTCAAATACAAGTAAAAAAGTTTCATTCGAAGATCCATCTAGAACAGTTATTACTACAACAGCAATACATGTATAAACAAAAAAAAAATGGTGAACAGTATGCAATTAAAACAAGTGATGTGTTCGTGTGTATGTGTGTGTGTGTTAATGGACACTTTCATAATTTGTCATTGACAAAAGAAAGAATTTAAAAATAGCTTTTTTTTCTTTGTTTTTTTTTCTATCCATAAAATGAATGTTAAAAATATATCTACCACGTACGACAAGTACTGATGATGTAATTTATCATATGAGAATCATTAAGAATCTGTAAATAATAAAATTAATAATAAATGAAACCATAAGAAAATAATTATACATGTGTGATGTTCTCAAATCAATATATATAAGAAGAAAATAAATAAAAAATGAAAATAGCGGCGTAACCAGGGGTAAACCAGACTGGACAATGCTCTTCCAACGACATTCTTTGTCTTATCGTTAGAAAAAGACAAAAACTAATAATTGTTATTATTTACACTATCTCAGATGAATATCTGAATATCATATAGAGAAAATCGAATGATTGTAAACATTATTGTCTTGTTTTATTGCGTAGTCAGTCTCAAATATGAAAAAAAAAATGTCTGATAAATAAGCAAATTCTGATACAGAAAAAGAAAGCAGTATGAAATGTAGAAAATAATAGTCACTGAAATTAGATGATATTCTATAGTATTAATAATGAATTAAAAGACTGATCAATTTTCAATTGTATAATATGAAGATTGTCTGTTGTTATTTTAAAGATAAAACAATGCATCAATAAAATCATTTAACTGACAATTAAAAATCTTTACTAAACTTGTCATTTTACTTCTTTTAACATAAGTACATACATTTTTTGTACACAAACGTGATTGAAAATGTTTATAGTTACCAAGTGAGAAACGAAAACATCATTTTGTCATGTATTGATTTAGCTTATCATGATTTGAATGAAAGTAAAGAAAATTAGAAAAGAGTATTCTGAATTCTATAATCTGTTGAAAGTTGACAATTAACGAGTGGGACAGGTTAAATAGTCGCGCTTTACATTTCAACTTTCAATCACTTAATACGTTGTAGTAAAAAAAATCAAATATATCACAAGATGCAACGTGAAAAGTTCTACAGCTTACATAAGATTGCTTCTTTTATAGTTGCACTTTTTATATTCAAAATGAACAAAATTTTGTGCGATCAACTTTTCGACGCTGCGAGTAAGATCATTTAACAGCATTTCGAATAGTAAGTGGACCAAGCAGAATCAAACCGTATGAAGCACTTGCTATATTCAATGTACATGCTGTTTTACATCTTGCTTGCATAAGCAGCGTGTAAGCTACACATTTTGCTTTTTGATCGAAAAATCTGTTTTCGACTTGAATTAACATTAGTATTAATGAACGACAAAGTGTACAATATGATTTGTTTTAATCAGTTTTCTTACTGGACTGATGTTTATTTTCTTTCTTTTAGTGATATTCTTTCTTCTATTTACGTAAGTAAAGTTAGCCCCATATTCGAGTTTTTTGTGTCCGAATTCGTTTTTGGACATGGATTATCTCTCTACTTGGTTGGGTTATATGCAGAATTGAATTCTGCGCCGAATGATACTAATTTCGACTAGGGTTGTCGGACAAAATCAACAGATGAGGGCGAACGAGGACCAGAAATTTCGACCTGATACTGTTACCGTCATCTACTGGTTTTGCCCGATAACCCTAGTCAAAATTAGTATCATTCGACGCACAATTGAATTCTGAACTCAACCCAACAATTTGTAGAGCTAACGCAAGTGAGAGAGCGAATCCGGACGTGAAATACTTTTGGAGAAGTCCTCAAAAAAGTCCGTATTTGGAGTATAAATGAGATTTTTGCTCGATGATCACAAACGAAAATGGTATTATTCGATGTAGAATTTAATTCTGCATATAACCCAACCAAGTAGAGAGCCAACCCAAGTCCAAAAACGAATCCGGACACAAAAACTCGAATATGGAGCTAACTTTACCTACGCGGGTATCTCCAAATAATAGCAGATGAGAATCCAAGGGTACCTCCATAAATAAAACATAGATCAGTTAAGCATATACCCAGTGACACTGGTGCCCCGTTCCAGTCCCAGCAGTGGCACTGATGCATGCTAGTGGGAATCCTGGGAGTACGATGTGAATCCAGAGAATCCCAGGAGTACAAAATCCACTGTTTCCCCCTAATGTTATCATCCAATTAGATCCAAACAAACTGACTGCTAATAACTATCTCTTCGTAAACAAACAGTCCTTGCCAACATTTGTTATTCATTTTCGACGATGGAACTATGGCCGATAAGTCAGCTTCTGTGATGCTTATTGATAAGACAAATGATTGAGTGAAGAACATCATTCACATTATTCAATAAAAAGACTTTTTCTAACGTCTTTTCTCTTGAAATTGATCAAGAGCTGTGCTACTTCGTCTTACCAATCTATCTGACGAAACTATGGGGATCTGGTGATTGTGATAAACAGACAAGAGAGCAGAAGAATATTGAACATATTCAAGTGAAATTATTTATACTCTTAAGGTTGTTCGATTCAATAACAGTATAAACTGATTGCTCGATTCCATAGATAGATTGTCGACCACTGTATATTGTCCTCATGTACTTATGTATATCGTTTCTTCTTTTTCTCTGTCTAAGAATAGTGAACAAACAATGTTTTTTTCTGTATTCTGTAATGGTGGTATTCATCCAGTAGGTAAGATTCATTATATGAGAGTCAAAATGAGCGGCTCTGCAAATAACTAATAAAAGCCAAAAGATGCAAAAAAGAAACGTCGAAGAATGACGAAATCGAAGCAAAGTGATTATCTGATTAATGACTGCAAAACTCTCGATCGAAACTAAAAGTAATCGAAACAAGTACATGCTGAATCTATAAAATCAGTAATCAATACTTTTAAATCAAATGATTGGCTCCGTCAGCATTACAAATGCTGAAAGTTGCATCTCGGAAAGTGAAATTTTGATATAACTCACACCCCTTTCGCATCAGCAGTTTTTGCTGAAAAAAACCGTGTGTACTGGAGTTTTTTAGATACCAAACTCTTGAAAATAGTTTCTAGTATATTTTGAGATATTCTGCCGAATGAGATCATTGACTGAAAGGATTTTCTGTTACAAGTTGAAAGTCTATAGTGAAACATGGTTTAGTCATCCTATTCGCTGATCTCATGATGAACTATTTTTGGTGTTATGGCTAGGTAAGTCTAGAGTACACGTATGTGTGTTAAAACATCTCAGCTAAATCATTTATGGATCCAACGTCTATTGTTGAATTATGAAAAAATGATGGTTATGTGCACTCTTGTGGCATTGATATTTCTGGAGCAATACGTTAGCTTCAGCTGAAACTTTAAGATCATTTCTATCTGAGATAGTTCTATCTACTGTAAAAATATGAATTAAAGCGAAGATATTGTTTGAGTAACGTATTGCTGAGACCGATCATGGCTCTCATGCAATGGTTCCTAGGGATTGGAATCGCGTGGAAGGCAGTTCACCCTCATCTTTGAAAATTCGTGCACATGGTATCACCTACTATTGATATTCGGACATGTGATGTTTGATATTTCATGAAGTTTTAAGGAGTCTTTAGGCTAAGACTTTTAATATACGTTGAAATCACATGAAATCTCTTTAAAAAAACTAATTTTAAATCATTTCATATTCAAAACCCATTATAAAACGTGTATTGAATTCTATTTTATTTATTTTCTCATTATATTCTAAACTCTTCATTAGGTTTTTTAGTACATAAAGATTCGTCCATTGACTTTAAACAAGAAAAAAAAAGGAAACTATTCAACAGTAAGCCATTTCTTTAAAATGTCATAAAATGATAGTGAATTGAAAGCAATATAAATGAAACATTACAAAACGTGGACACATGATATAAATAAAAAACAAAGAAGAAAAACAAAACGCATAAACAAATACACACATAGACCAACCAGCAAAAAAAAACAGCTAATCGTTCATAACCAAAAATGGAATGATATTTTTTTTTAACTAATTTTTTCAAGAATTTTTATCACATTTGAGATACTTATAAATGAGGAAAAAAGAGAATCGATATTGTTTTAGTATTGAATTGTCAGAAGTAAAGACATAAATTCATAGTTTTATTTGTCTACTTCATTGTTGATAATAATTAATTTTAAAATAATACTGATTTATCTTTAAAAAAGATATTTACAATCGGTACATGTAAAATTAATTCTGGTTTTGAATAAAGAAATATTGAAAATATAACTAAAGCTGCACCCAATGTAAATAATAATGTTAATTGAAAATCGAATAATATAATACTAACAATACATGAAAGTATAATAGCTGATGATGTTGCAAAACCTTTTAATATATTATCGGCATGTTTAACAACTAATGCTACAATAAGACCACCAACAGAATGAACAAGTGTAGCTGTCCATACCATATTTGTATAACCATAGAAAAAACCTTTTTCTTTTACTTCTAGACCATCGGATAAATACGATGTTATAGTGCCAAAAAAAATTCCAAATACACCTAATTGAATATTACGTATCCATACAGATACATCACTACCTTTAAGAATTTTTTCAAAATAAACACCAGCTAAACCACTTAATGTACCTAGAGTATGATTAAAATAAAAATATTACTCGATTCCTTATCTATTTTGAAAATTTTTCTAAAAAATAACTTACAAGCAGCTACAACGGCAAGTAATCCATATACAGCATTAACATCTTGTTTTGGTGTTGCTGATGTCATATTTTCAACTTGTACAAGAGAAATGCCAATAAAAAGAAGAAATAATGCAAGCCATTGAATAAAACTTAATTGACGACGAAGTATCATTACCATTAGTATAGCTGTTGTAAAAATTTTTAATTGATAACTAACCTAAACAAAAACAAAACGAATTATTTATATCATAGTCTTCTAGAAAATTTTATTGTTTTGTTAGTACATAGAAAACAAAAGTAGAGCTTCTTAATAAAAATGCTATTAGCCCAATTCCTGCAAGATTAAAATGTGAAACAAGATATAGTTGCCATTGTTAATCACACAAAGATTGCTTTATTCTACCTATTTTAGAACATATTTCGTCACCATCGTTTTACTTAATCCTATAGAAATGTAATAAGGAAGTAGTTCATATATTTCAACGAAATGTTATGAATATGCGATTTTTGATCATGTATCGACAATGTTTGTCACGACCTGTGACGATTTGTAACTAGCGTCTGTGATGACCTCTGATCAGAGGCGGTGCAACTGGAAGATGGGAGATTACTTCCTGCTCCAAAAAATATTGGCTGGGGCTTTCTTCAATTGTGAAAGTTTCGATGGATCGATTTTCTCCGATTCTTGAGATTTATTGCACGATAGTGACTAACTAAAGCTAAAAAAAGACCGAAAAATTATTGTCACACCTGAACACACCTGTCGCTAGTATCCATATGCGGTGAGTGGATAGTAATGACAAGTATGTGCCAGTGTTTCTTTTCTAGTCTCTCCAAAAACTCGGGACAAGCTAATGACTTATGCAATATTAACTTTTGTATTCACATTTTTCCAATGTTATTTATGCACAAAAATATTTATATCAAAAATTGAACAAAGAATAAAATTAAAAAAGGAGTAGAGTTTTTTTAATTTATAATCCTTCATCTACGGATGCATGAAATATAGTCAGAGTAGTTCAAGAAACATCGAACAACCTATCTACTTTGAAAAGAACGCACAGGTGACAATAGAAAATTTTTTGACTCTTTCTTCGATTTTTGGATCAACACTTCCTTCTCCGACCCGTTCGTGCCGTCTCTGCCTCTGACTAGCATCTGTCAAAATCTGTGATTATCTCTAGGTATCGTCTGTTGTAGTCTGTGGGGAGTATAAATTTTTATCCCTACACTTCCACACTCCTGTTAGATCATGTTTTACAAAATTACTTGAAATGTAGCAGCATCTAAATTTGAAATGGCAACAAAAAGAAGATTATTTTGTAATGTATAAAGTAAAGCTGGTATTCCAGTTTTGAATGTATCATATGGTTGACATATAATTTTATTATATATTAATTTAAAAGTTGCAGCAATATTACGTTCTTCATTAATAACTAAAAATAAACTTAACATTGTTTTTTGAACTTCTGAAACAATAACTGCTGTTGAATTTATAAAACGTGGTCCTGGTATTGTACGTACATAACGTAATAATAATATGCTTAAAGCATTTTGTAATGTTAATGCAACTAGACTAATAGGTTTCATGAAAGTACTTGAATGATAGGAAACTGGAGGTGTTAATCCATTCGATGCAGAATTTGACACTTAAAAAACAAAAAAAGAAAATTATTCATATATAATATTCAATAAGTTATAGATATTCATGCAATATTATATAAAAAGAAAAAAGTATCATTTAAATGCGCATAGACTAAAATTTTTGATAGATCATTTACTTATACTATTCTTTTTTTCAACTATTCATTAATTATTACAAAAAAAAATCGAAGTATTAAACAAAAAAGAAAATATCAATATATTTAAAAAATTCTCACGTGTGTTAGAAGGTTGACCATTTAAAAGATCACTACCTTTCATGTCGATAGTTATTTGATTTTCCTAAAAAAATAAAAAATAGATCATTTTGAACATTCATAAGAAGAAAGTTTATTGAAATAAGAAATCCGTTTCCTTATTTTATTGTTAAGATTCCTTACTTACTTTATGTGTCATGTTGGATAATTTGTTTTTGAATATGCTGGATTACAGATCTAGTATTTTTTCTTTATTTTTTTTTCTTTCTTTGTATATAATAAAACAGATAATTCTACAATTAATAATACCTCGAGAAACAATTATCTAGAATAAGATAGAAAATATAATAACAAACAAGACCACAAATGATATTTGTTTTTTCTCCATAAATAAAAGAATCCAGTCAAGCATAGTGAAAATATTCATAGGTTGTTCTAATGCAAAATAAATGAATTGATACGATTAGTTTCATAATAAGAATTTAGCAATGCAAATTAAAAATCCATGTTAATTCGACTCTTATACATTGAAAAAAACCTTTAGTTAGTGTATTGAGTTCAAATTAATCTGTAAATAAAATAGGAGTTCATTTTGAGGAGTAATTAGATGTAAAATGCTTTGAAGTTTTCATTTAAATAGAACTCGATTTGATCTTAAATTAAGTCTTTAAACTTAATTATTGCGTTCTTCTTATCAAGGGTTTGAAACTGTCATAATATTCAGAAAAACATATGTGACACATCGATAATAAAATATCTTTTCGCCTACTCTAAACTCAAAGTATTCTTTAGAAAAAAAAATATTATTATTTTTAACGACATTCTTTTGTTACACTAGTTGGTTGAGGTTTACGAGTTTACTAAAGCTTTTTAATTTGATCTGCTTAAATACTGTTACTTTCAATATCTTCATTAGTTGCTTTCTTTTCAAGTTGTTTTCATGCATTTATATCAGTCATTGTTGATAGTCGACGACTATTCGTGTTCTTGAAAATATGCATTCATGGTGATTTTATTTTTTTCTGACCTTATTCATAGATTTTCACTTTTTTTTCCCATATTTTTAAATATTATCTTGATCATTTTAATATTCATTAAGTATTGAAATATATTGTTCGTATCAATATTGTTCACTGAATCATACAAGATATTTGTCTTATATAAATAAAGTAAATAATAACAATAAAAAAAAAAATGTTGTTTATTTACTAATATAATTCATCAATCATGCATGTACTTTTTAACTTAGTATCTTGAAAATTTATAGAAAAATTTTACTAAACTATTATTTGTATAGATTCTTGTCAATTCTGTTTATTTCGATTAATTCATTCTAGTCATATTTGTATGTATACTGGTAGTCCTATATTTGTTTAGTGATTATAATGACTTATAGATCAGAGGGAATATATGGACTAATAGAACTACATGATGTAAAGGATTAGAAAAAAAAGTAAAAGAAGAAAACGATCTAAAATCAATTATAGTCGCTAATGTATTAAGTTATATTGACACAAGTTAGATTCTGTATGAATTCTTCCAATTCATTATTCAATCATGCATAAATTCAAAGACTAAATTAGTCGAATAATATTTTGATTATAAAACTTTATATTTAAGTCAAATGTTTTATGTTTTTGTCTTGTTTAATGAACATTTTGAGATGTTGAAATAAGATGAATTTAATTTGATATGCTAAACAATTAATTCTTATATTATAATTGTAATTCGTTAATAAATAATACAGGAATGATTTTTGAAATACAGTTAGTATTAATGATAACTGAATAAGACATTTTTGATGATGTCATTGGTAATGACGTATATCTATAAAATCTGTCGTTATCAGTAGTGAAATTGACCTTGAATATATTTAAATCATTTGAAAAAATACCGTTATTTTCTTATTGAGTAGTTTTATTGATTTTTCAACGACTAACGTTACTATTAGTAAAAAAAATAACTTCTTACCTTCATCATTTTTTAAATATTCGACTATCTTAGAAATCAAATAGAATCGTTTTTCGGTTGTCATTTTATATAAAATTTTCCTCTATAATTATTTGCTTTTGGTTACGATGAAAAAGTTTTGTGACAAGTAAAAAAAAAAACTTTCTTTTACATTATATCTAGGGGAGTCGTGACAGTCAATGTGAAATTTATAACAGAACAATGAGAAAATGTTTAAAATAATGTGATCGAGATGCAACCAATGAAAATCTTTCTAAATATGACCTGACTGTTCTGTTTTAAATAAATATGTCAAAAAGACTTTTATTTAATGAATTTTTTTAATTAGTAAAATTAATTGAAATAAACATAAATTAACAGAAAAAAAAATTCATAAGATAATTTATTTTATAATATTTTTACGGACAAGGGCATAAATAGGGCGGGGTGCAACCCCTTATTTGACATCTATGCTACGCTCCTCGATGCCCCGACCTTCGATGGTGAGTTACGCTCCTGTTCATGCATTATATATTCATTTTCGTTTTAAATATAATGTTCGTCATTAGTATTGTCGATTTATGAAGTATTGAATTTATAAAGTTAAATAAGTCAGTGGAAAACTAAATCATTCTATTGTTGAAAGTTTTATTCATACCACTCTGCCTGTTCATTAGATTTTTTTTTCTATCGATATTTTTATGAAAATCGATGAAATTTGCATTGTTGTTGAAGACAATTAATACTTTAGAAATGAGTTGTAAAAAGAATTTTAGACTTTATAGAATAAAACAAAAAAGACCGAGATCATTGTATTGGTCAATGTGAAACAATCTTCTATAAATCAGGAATTTAAGCATTTTTTGTAATTCTTTTTACATCCAACATTAGTTTCAACCGTATTGGCACAATCAATTCAATTATATAGTGAATGTCTGTATATGGTCAATTTCAGTGGTTAGTGATTAGACTTCGTAAAATTAAAATGCATTTATCTCTGAATAATGAACAACTTTCCTAAAGCTAATTTTTATATGTCATACGCATGTTAAATTATTCTAGATACTTTGAAAATAACAGTTCTATAAATTTTTGGTTTAGAGAAGTTATCACTGAAAAACAAATGTTCGCGACATGGCTCAAAAAGGATATTGATATTCACTACATGTATTTGAGTTGAAAAAGAATTGCTAATTGAGGCAACTGTAACGACAAACTGCAAGAGTAGCTTACCGCCATCTTCGTAATGATTTTTATTGAGCTACTTCATATATTTAGAATGTGACTACCTAACATTCAACACAAGTTTATATAGAAGAAAGATAAGCATAGAAAATAACGATAAAGAGAATGAGAAGGATAGAGGAAATAAGGATACAAGTGACAGGACGATATCAATATTGACAGAGCAGTATTTTTGAAAAGTGAGTGTTGTAGTCTGTAGACGACTCTTAAGACTGCAGAATCTCTATTCAAAGTTTTTTTTCTAAGCAAACCAGGATTTTTTTCAAAAAATTGAGAATTTACTCGTCGTTAGCAACGTGACTCAATATGAATATAGATACGAAAAATCCCTCTGTAGCTGAATGAGAAGTCGAAAAAAAAAATCAATTCTAAATAGTACAAATTCTTCTTGAGGATCTCGAGATGATAGTAAAATAAAAAGTTTCGCTTCATAACGTGATGAGTTCTCTGAAGTATTGACTTACCGGAAGCAATTTTTTGAAGTCCGATCTTTCTGAAAATCTCACCATATATATAGTTTGCAACGTAGAGTCTATCATGCAATTCTTGGCCTTTAAAGTCATAGAGATAGACAGTTATTTACTAATTACGTTTTAATTAATTAACTTATAAGCTAATTAATCTTAATTAAGTGTGAACTGAAAGTTTCAATAGTTTTACATATATTCATGGTAGAAGAACTTGTTCAAAAAAAAAACAAATCTTCTTATAAATGAAAGCTAAACGATAAATGTTCATGTTCCATTTTGGCTGATTTTACTTGTATATTTCAATCGAAAATAATAATCATTTTTTTAATTTATTAGTTAAACTAGCTATACTATGAATTAGTTTCATTCATTTTATTCTCTCACGCTCATCAAATGAGTCGAATGCATTTCATAACAGTGTCTTTTTTTCGATACATTTATATTTTAAAAAATCAGCGATATAGAATTCAATTGAGAGTATTGGATATAATAATGCTAGAGCAAATTCGTTTATATAATAAAAATTATTGGAGAACTATTTACTATGTAAAGAAAGAGATAATAGAATCATTTGATGACAAACAATAGTGAACTTTATTATAATAAGAAGCTCGTCGGTCAAATCATATAAAAAATAATCGGCCTAATTTAGATTAGATTAGTCATTCCGTATATTGATTTAAAAATCGAATACGAGTAAGGTTAGTTATTTCAATCATGATTTAGACAAATTTCCTGAGATTTTGTTTTTCTATCTTACAAAAGATTATGGTAGTTGTTTACGACAATTCAATTGTATAGCAAATTACTTACATCAATTTGACCTTTTCTCTTTTATTGGATTAATTTTGCTCAAACATTTTGTCTAATTAAATAGCTGATATTTGATTGAATTTGCTCTAAACTGACTCTGTTTATGTATTTATTTATTTTTCTCATTTCAAATATTTTTTTCTTGTGTATTATAATGACAAAAAATAACTTTCTATCTCTCTCTCATAATAAATGCTATTATAAAATCATAGTATATTTCATAATATTCATCATTGATATCATCAATAAATGAGAAATGATATTCACATTCAAAGTGTTATTGCAAAAAACTTTTTCATTTGTTCTTATCTGTATATTATAAAAGTCTCAATTTCATGTGATATTTTATGTGCAATAAAAAATGCAATTTTTTCGAATGCTTGAGATTTTATGATAAATATTTAAGTTTTATAGACTATTTATAATGAATACGTTATCTCTTTTTTTTGTTATCTTTATAATCATTCTCTCGAGATACGACTATGCTCTTCTCTTATGACCGTTACGCTTGATAATTATTCTCTCAATGTTACTTTACATATAAGCATGTGTTGAATTAACGATTAGAATAGCGTATTGCGTAAAAACGTCAAAAAAAAAAGTGATCCATCTTATTTGATAAGCATTTTTTTTATCCAAGTTCATCACACTGTTGTTTTAAAAGAAAAAGAAAACAAGGTTAGAGAATAACCATGCGAATGACATAGACAGTATAAAAACGAATAAATTAATTTAAGTTCATTTTTTGACTTGATCTTATAAATTACAATGAGAATATTTGACTTTGAAATTGAAATCTAATTTTGAGTCAGTATTGTTATGATCGACTGCAAAATATTAAGAGTTTTTTTTTTAAATACTTAATCAAAATTTTAAATAGAACATTTAGACAATTGTCTTATGTTATGATAAACATATTTCAGATTCAATTGATTTTGATGTATTATGATTTGAACAATCACGTTCTTTATGTTGAAAATATGTTTCAAATGATAGACAAGAATATTCGTACTTTGGTTTTCAGCATAAATTACATGTTGAAACATTAAACTATCTTTATTTAAAAGAATTGAATGTGAGTGCTATTGAAGTATTAAACGGAATCGCATGTTAACCGATGTCTATTCCTCCAGTAGTCACAAGAAGCCCCGCTATCGGATAACAAGTATATAAACTTCATTTCTTTTGCTCGATATTTTGACTATGAACAGAGCTCGGTAAATTCTGATCGTAAGCAACAACCGAAGATCGATTGGTCTTAATGTAAAGGACTTACAATGAAAACACTGTTTTTTTTCCCTAGGGCTCCAAAAAAAGGCTTTTTTGACACTTTTCTGGTTTTCCACTATTTAGATGTGTTAATTGCCATTTTCTTATTAGCTAATAAACATCCGTACGTCTATATTATGCCACAGATAGGATATTCCAATCCATTGTAATCTTGAGGTGCAGAGAAGCTTCCATTGGTTGGAATGGTCTCAGCATGTATCTCTTCTCCATTGAGCTGAGATATACTCGTTTGATGAAAAAAATCTATGTTAACCTTCTAGCTCCTCCGTATGATGGTTGATCAAGTTCTAATTAATCCTCGCGATTAGAGTTCATCATGGTCTATCTATAGTCAAGCTATAAGACTAAAGGATTAAAGTTTAAGTACCTTTTATCTAGTAACGAAACTCTTTGTGACCACCGCATAATACAAATTAAAAGCATGCATAGTTTTAACTAATTAAGAATGTCTTATGAATAGAAGTAGATTTCTGAATTTAATCAAAAGTAATTCTTCAGATTTTAACATTTTTTTTCATGCAAAACATATTTGAAAACTAGATGAAAATGAATGAATAGGTAAAAACTTCTAAATGTTTATGTTGTATCTTCTTCCATGATTCTTTCAATTTGTCCTGAAAAAAGAATTTAATCAATAAAATTTGAAAATGTTTTATTGAATCCATTATTTCAATTTACACGGAAGGTACTGTGACTAAATAAGAAATATTTATTTTTTGTATACTAGTCGATTGTTAAAAATTTTAATTCAAACCAGAGATGGATTTAATTACAGGTTTTTAGATTTAAATCAAGTCGAAGTGGAATCGATATTGATTTGCGATACTACAAAGAAAACTGTGACCATCTCTCATTTAATAGTTATTATCTCAATGAAAATAATAATTGGCTAGATTATAGCCTTTCAATGAGTGAAGGCTGAGGCTTTTTTTTCTTTTAAAAGCTAATCCTTCAAGTAATCCTATGAAAATTCTATGTTATTCAACGTATTTATTAACATTTGTTTATGGATTTTTGATAATTCCAGGACTGATCAATTTGCATTGTTTTCTCAAATACTGATCTTGTTAAAAATAAAACAATACAGTGAAACCTTCTTATGAGAACAACTCTCTATTGTGAATATTTACTGGTCTCCCTCTCCCTACAGAACTTTTTTTGCTAGAAATGAACCTTTCCAATGTGGAGATTTTTTTCCGATCCCGTTCACATTGGAGAATTTCTTGAAAGTGAATAATTCTGTAATTTTCAGAGCATTTTTTCGGTATTGTCCCAAAATTTCGAAAATCTCAAACATAAAAGTCTTTGAAAAACTATTGCATTGGGAAATCTTTTTTTTTATTTGTCGAAAATCAAGATTTTCTAGATTTTTCTGTTCCAGATTTTTCGATATTCATTTTTTCACCTGGATAGAGTTGTACTTGGTAATTGTACACTGAATAGACTAGTTTTAGATGAGCATCTGTACGAGAGAAAAATGAGAAAACACTAATTAGACACTGAAAAAGCGTATGCCAGCGATAAGTGTAGAGTTTAAAAAAAGATATAAGATGCCTCATGGGTGTTGGTGCTAGAAGTGATCATTTGCAGTTACCTTAAAAAGTGACTGTGTCTCGCATTTTCTCAAAAAATGAATCCCATCTTCATACAATTACATAAATGTGTTGAAAAACAGGAGAGGTCGTGACTTTTCAGGAAAATGGTAAATAATCACTCTTAGTGTTGGATACATTCAACACTAGTATGCGACGTACTCTTGAATAGACTAGCAATCAAGAGAAGATAGACCAAGAAATGAGACAAAGAATTGAAAAAATGTTCATTTGTCTACTTACGAAGAGACCAAAGTTCATGATTTTTCTTCAGCAAATTCTAGCTGAAGTTGACTGATGCCTATCTTAACTGGAAGGTATGCTAAAGCAGTTTTATCATTGACTCTTTCAAGTGGAAACTTTCAACTACTAACTAGAGAAGTTGCCTTCAATACAGTTCCATACAACATGATTCCGAGAAAGCGTATCGGATAGACTTTAACAACTATATCAAAATGAAATATTGAAAACCTTCCCAAAGTGGACACATTCAATGAAGATTATCAAATTGCAAACTATTTATGTAGATTTGGCTCAAAAGCTAAGTCACGTCTCAAATTCAAATTCAAACATTTAGGTATTGATCCCAAATTCCAAATGTATTTTAGATTCTTTGCACCCCTAAAAGTTTAGAACGATAATAAATCAAGATTTTTGTGTTATTCGAGAAAAATTTGAACATGTTTCTAGTGAAAATGAAGAAATGCTTTGATTAATATCACATAAGATTAGATTATCAAAAAGAGAAAACTTTCTTTGTGTTTTGTTTTCTTTTCTGGAAATAGATATTTTTAATATTTAAATTTTGAAAAAAATAAAAGATGATGTTATTTGTAAAGATCAAGATATTGTGAAATATGTGAACAATATCGAAAACATCTCGATCTATTCTATGAAAAAATTGATCAACTTTCAGTTACTTTAAACAAGTAGCTATTGTCAATATTTGTGTATCTTATTTTAGTTCAGCTTTGTATGTCATATCCAAAACCATTGAATACTTCACAATTATCAACACAAGCGTAAGAAATGAAAGAATTCCATTTTATGTAATTTATAGCAAAGAAATCACCTTTTAGAAAACTCATCTTGGATTAGTTTGAGTACGACAACATTATAGATCTGTACTCTGTAATACCTTACAACATTTAAAATGATATAGTTCTACCTACCCTACTCTGAGAGGGTCGTACCCTAATCGTATCCCAGGGTATGATGGATACTAGGGTAGGGCTTCAGAACTTTAATTGATAGTACACAATTGAGATTGAGACGAATCTAGTAAGATAATTTTCAATATCTAATAATTCCTTTATTTCATGTGTCTACAATATCTAAAACCTTCTTCATTCTATTTTCAGTATAAATCTCTTATACTACTAAACTGACTCTTCAATAGTCATTAACATTTCATATTTAATTTCGTTAATTTTCAGTATGATCGAGTGAACGAGGTTCGTTTGTTTAATATTCATTGTTTCGAAATTTACAACGAAAGGTTTTTATTTTACTCAAGATAGCTGCAGATAGTCCGATGCAAATCGAAATAATCTTCTTCCTCTTTTTTCGAAGAGACTAACTATTCAAAAAAATTATTTCTGTTTTACAGCTAAAAAAAACTAAAATTGATAAACGTTAAAGAATATAACACACAGTAAATTAATTTTCATTGTTATATTTGAATAGATCTTTTTCGGAACAGAGTGACTGTCATCGTTTTCTTTTACAATCACATTTAAGAATATTCAATGAAGACATATTCGAGTTAAAACAATTAGTTTGTAATAAATCACAATCATAGCAAAAAAGTAAATAGCATAATAATAAATATTTCATAAAGAATTTGTTCCATTGAAGAAAATCTTTAACTTATAAATATGAAGAATAAAAGATATTTATTTAAATGAATAATATAGCAAGATAAATTTGTTTTAAATGAATTTTCAACTATTAATACTAAATAAATCTATAATTTTGATTTTACTCTATCAAAAAACAAAAAAAAACAACGTTGAAATCTATTTTTCTTAATTTAAATATTGAAATACAATAGACACTAATTTTAAAATGTCACATTTTAAATAATAATAAATTGCAATTTCAAGGATATTCATAATATTACATATTAATTTTCATTTGATTCAGTTACTTCGTCCTGTACAACATTGTCGAAAACATGAAAAACAACATTGAAGAATACTCCAAATAATCATTATCACAAGTAATGCATATGCTGATTTATATAAAACTGGTTCGCAATAATTAGGATCATGTCGATCATCAAATTCTACTTTGTCACGAATACTAAATACCCAGATACAGCCAAAAATGAACCAAATAAAAAGAAAAGCTGATAGTATTATCGTTGACACTATAGTTAAACATAGAGAACAGGTAGCTATTATATGCAGTGCTGTTGAATCCGAAATGAAACACATAAATACACTAAAAACAAAAAAATATTAAATATTGAGAGAATTTTAAAAAAAAATCTAGATATACATAGAAAGCAAAATTGTAAATCCAGTCATTGCTAGACCACAAGCACCCGAAACGATCATATAAGTTGGAATACGCTGATCAATAGTACAATCTTCTCTGTAATATGCACCAATTATCAATTGAATTAATGGAATAATAGATCCAAGCAATGACGAGCTACAAAATAATATTTTTTTTTAAAGTTCAAAGTACGTAGATTAAAATAAAATTTACACAAGAATATAAGTTGTACCAAATGTTCGACCGGCTGCAGTCATTGACAAAGGAGATACTGTATTAGATGTGCTTCTTAACGGAGCCGTTTCACTGGTACCTTCAATTTGAGTTGGATTCATTTGAGTATTGTGAATAATTAGAAAAATCAATTTATGATTCGATATGTCAAACGCAAACGTTTGCTTCCCATATTTTTACCGTGCCTTTTATATTTGCATATGTTCTGTTCTTATCGATTTTTTCTTTTCAGACCAGCAACAAACACAGAATATACTCACAGTCAAAATATGGTCGATTTTCTCGCTTGCTCGGACGAAAAAAAACAGATCGATTGTAGTGATGAATCATATCTTCATTTTTTTTTTATCTATTTCTTGCAATGCATAAAAAAATGTGACACAAATGATAGAAAAATAAATGTAACTAGCTAACAGCAATTATTACTGATGATTTATGCATAGAATAAGAAAGAGACTTGAATTCATGTATGATTAGAATAATAATATGTGTTATATTATGGTTAATAAGAATCAAAGAAGATACATCAATTACTTTTTTTCTATTTATGTTACAATCTCTTTGCATGTAAAAGATGAATAATTCTAATGAAAAGATTCATATAGCATCTAGTGAAAAATATTTCGATTACAATCAGATTATTGTGCAACAAAATTAAAATTATAATCAATTTAGGAGTTTTTGATCATTAAGAATGATAAAAAAGTCTTCTAAATAATTTATAATTTTGATTTTCTTTGCAAAATATTCTCACTATAATCGAAGCATTTTTCACAAAGAAATAGGACTTTTTTAATGCTTTAAAGAACCATACTTTGATTGATATCATTCAATAGTTACCAAATAATCTACAAAAGTAAATTAATCAAAGCCTAACTCAATACAAAATATGAAAAAACACCTATCATTATTTCTATTTTGATGAAGACTTACTTTTCGTCAGACTCTTTTGTAATTAATATATACTCTATGGCTGATTCATCTTTCTATATTCATAAGAATTCTAGATTTGCAATCGTAAAAATGCAATTGTTTATATTTATTTGACTAAATCTAAGATCTTTTTTTTCAAGATGAGAAATACATATCGTTAGGGAATAATGCGAAGTAGAACGGCATCAGTGGCAAAATTCATCACAAGCAGAATTCAAGAATATTGATTAATGTGTTAACTACCGTAGTACAATCGTGTACTGGATTATAGATTCTCATCTATGCTTCCAAATCAAAATTCTGCTTAGAATTTTGTTTTTTTCAGCAGAATTTTTGTCAGACTTCTAACTTTCTAGCAGAATTGTTATTCATTACATATACTTATTCCTATAGAATTAACTTTTAGGTATAATTCCAATGTTAATCAATTTTAAAAAGATTATGACGATATTTCTCATAAAAACCAAAATAACTATTTCAATAGTTTGTTTTTCAGCACAGCAATACGGCGAACACAATCAAGGTCCGAAACAGAAAATATAATAGATTAAGAAATAAGTATGCTCATTTTTTTTATTTTATATTAGATATCAAATAATGTTAACATGTGCTGTTTAGATGCAAGGATAAATCTAAATCGTGAAACACGATTCTCTTAGGGAAGTAAAGTTTCAGTTAAAATCTTCTGTAAAAACAAGATTCTAAGCATAATGTTGATTTAGGAATTCTGACAAAATTCTGCTGAGAAAACGAAATTCTATGCAGAATTTTGTTTTAGATGCACAGATAAATGTATATGATGAAACACAAGTCTACTAGACAGTCTGAATTCTGATATAATAAATAGAATTCATAATAGAATTATTATTGTTTTATTACAGTATTATAAGAATTATATTAATATGAACAGAATGTGTATGTAAACAATGATAAATGTGTTTACAATACAGAATTCTTAAGTTCTGCTTGTGAGAATTCTGCCACCACTCGTAACCAAAGAATTAAGAAAAAAAATGAAATTATTCATATTGAAAGCATAGGATTAGTATTTCTCATACAGCAAAAGATATTTTACAAAAGGTTTTTAAGAAATGCCGTATTTTCGAACATCCGCTATTGCACAAATCATGTTGCCAAAGTTTTGTTATGACTAAACATATACAATTGATTTATGTGAAATTAACGAGTAATGAAACTCTTAATGAAACAGTTCGTGATGTCCTGTTTTTTTCAGATAAAAACTAATCAAACGAAATAGTTCAAAGATTATCGGTTGTTTTACATATCAGATTAATATCTCACAATTTCTAAGATATTTCTGAGAACTAGATGTTGGAAAGAACCTTCATTTTACAAAATGTCACAATAATTGTTTTTTTTCTTCTTTTAAATGCCAAACACATTAGAATCTCCAGAAATAAAAGAAAAACATCATCAATATTTTATGAAAAATTTTTCTGTTAAAATTTCTTGTATAAATAATTGATCAAATAAAAGTAGTAATTATTAATTCATAGAGGAAAATTTAAATCTTGAAAAAAAAATTTCATAATATTTTTCACCAATCATATAATTGCAGACAATTGCTTATTAAATAACTATCTACGCTATTCTAAGAAATAATTAATAGCATAACTATCACTTCTAAACTAAACATTTTATTATCATGATTTATTAGTAAAATTATAAGGCTTCAAATGGAACACATGCAACTGACTAGAAATATAAAAGAGTAGGAGTAATTTATGATACTTTAGTTTTTATATGTTTGTTTATTAATCACGTTATTTTTTGACATGCGAATATGTTTTATTTAATAATAGTTTTTGTTAATATAGTAAATATCAATATCAATGAAGCTATGCGATAATATTTGTTACTTGTGACGACACCAATATATTTTTTTTTTGTTTCTAGTGATAAAACATTGAGTTAAGAAGTGCATGACAGAATCTTACTTTTTTTCTTTTTAAATTTAGAATTTTGTCGCAATGATAAAATAACGAAGTTGATTATATTCATAATAAAAATAGAATTTATCCATAAGAATTAAACCTAGGAAAATACTAATACGATTAATATTAATGTCGATCATATTAATTAAGAATATGCTCGATTATTATGATTACCATCACAAAAACATCTAGAAATATATAAATAACTAATGATTACATTCAATAATTTTGATAAAATCTATAGAAAAATTCATAAGAAATTTATTTGAACAAATATAGACTAATGGTTTAAGCTTAGGAAATAATGAAATATAATTTAGATTTCAATAAATCTATCAATAATAATTCAGTTTCAACAAAACGATTGAAAGCAATAGACTGTAACTCTCAAAATATGCAAGATTTTTATAAATATTACTGACAACTGAGATGTTAAGTGTTTTTCAGTCAAGTATCGTTCAAAATCCTTTATATGATTACATGTAGAACGAAAGATTAGGAATGGTACATTTCTTTTTTTTTCCTCATTTCTTATTGTTTAAGTACATATATCATAAATGTCAAGAAGAATAAAAATACTTTGTATTATATTGAGTACTTTCTTGTTATGAAAAAATATGATGAAAATTCAGAAAAGAATCTAAGAACTTTTATATTGATTCGATTACTTAGATTTTCACTTGTTTCTGTAACTTTATATATTTCTTTTAACATATATCAAAATTCAATATATAAAACGAAGAATTCTTTAACTATGAAAGAAACAAAAACTGAAAGATTTAAAACAAAAGATTTTTTCGAAAAGAAATCATTAACTTAATCATTAAGTACAAAAAAAAATGAATTGATAATGTTCTATTTCATCGTTATAAATAAATCAAAATTTTTGCATTAAATACATAATAATCGACATATCTTAGTTATTTAAGTTGTCTTATCTATATCGTCAAATTATAGAATAATATTCACGATAATTTTGAAAGCTCAGTGTTAGATTGAGAAAGTCAGTGAGAGAATGATGGTTTATCAGATGGAGCAGGGGTCATGATCAAAAAATGGCTTCCGAAGTCTATTTACAGTAGTATAACCTCTTTTTTTGGTTTCTATTGAAGAAAAATGAAACAAAAAAAAAAACAAATTCGCTACGGGGTAGCGACAGTTGCTTTGTCACTCTATAACTTCATTACTGTGAAAGCTAATAAGTATATCGATAGAGAAGCAATGCAAACATATTCGTCTGAATATATGAAATAATATATCTCACCATCATTTGCAATATTTTATTGACAAATAAGAAAAAATTCTCCAATGAAACAGTCTACATTCTCCTAAAAGAAACAAACAACTGTATAAAAAAACTTAGTTTTTTTCTTTTTTTAAAAGTAAAATAAATAGAAAAAAACACATATGTTCTTTTTCTTTTCTTTTTGACATTGTTTGAGATTAGATTTTGTTTATCTATGCTTTTAATGTGGCTACAGATTTTGAACAAGCACAACAACATGATAAGCAACAGCAAACAACAGTCATAATATAAGTTATAATTAGTATCCAAAAAGCAAAATTATATAAAGTTGAATGACAATAATTAGACGATTGTTCATTACGAAAATCAACTATATTTTGAGCTCCAAATATCCAAACATTACCCTATGTAAAAAAAACAAACAAACAAATACAATAATTCATTTAGAAATAAATTAAAATCAATTTTTACTTACCACAATAAACCAAATAAATAAAAATAAACTCATAAGAAAAATAATAATAATTAACATAGCAATTATACATGTAGTAATACATGATCCAGCAATTGTATCTTGTTTAACACAACATACAAATGAACCAACCTATATTTAATTAATAATAAAACATTATTCAAAACTACAAAAACAAAAAAAAAAAAACAAATGAAAATAATATCTTACAATCATTATTGTCAAAGCAATAACCATCAAACCACATGCACCTGTAACAATTAGATATCTCGGAATATTAGGATTCACTGAACATTGATCTTGATAAGCTATACCAATAGCTAATTCAAGTATCGGAACAATAAGAAGAATACATAAAGCAATCAAAAAATATTTTGAACCAAGTATCAAAGATACAAATGGTGGAAGAAACTTTATTTGTCTTTCACTAGCAATATTTAAACGAGGTAATCTGCTACTATCTATGTGTTCATCAAAAACATTTGAAAACGGTGGGCCACCAACACTAGGTCGTTGAAAAGAAGGAAGTGGTCGTGGAATTTCGATTGACATTTGTTGACGTTGCGTTGATGATGCTGGTATTGAATATTGTGCCATAACTACTCGTCTTGAAGGTCATGAACAGTAAGAAAAGGAAAAGAAAACAAAGGTAATTTTGATCACGACACAGTGCATAGAAAAAGAAACGATAAAAAAAGAAAAAAAGATCTTGCTGTTTTATTTTCTTTCCTATTTATTTTGTTGCTCTCACTTCTTTTACGTTTCTAAATTTAAATACATAATAAAAAAAAAAATTGCTTTCGTTCGTTTTCTCACAAGAGTATTTGTCTATGTTCACCTTTACTCAGTTTCACAAAAAAAACGAAAACAAGAACAATCCTACTTCAGTCTTTATTAAAGGTTGCAGAAGAGTAATGATTAATTTCGTTGTTTCTCAAAAAAAAAAAATCTTCTACGCAGATTTAAAAGAATTTCTTTTTTTACCGATCGACTAGCATTTGGCAATTTCTTACCTAGCGTCAAGAGCATTTTAAATACAAGAAATGAAGCGAAAAAAAAAGGATATATGAATAAAATTTATTCAAATTTAAAGTGTTTGCTAGTTATTGGTCATACAAAGTGTAGGCGAATATTGTTTGAACATGCAATGAAATCATTTCATGATCATTAATCATCCCAAGTTTTTTTTTTCTAGTCAACAATGATTCTTCTTCTTGTCTGATTTTGTATCATCTTTTCACTATTTGCTCATCTTCTATATGTAGACAAATAATACTACGCACTATGTCTCTATAGTGCATAAAAAAAAAACGAAACGAAATTAAAAAAAAATTGATACTTCTTTCTTTATATCAAATTCTTTATAAAAGAACACTATTAAATTGATGATTGAATAATCATGTTTTCTAGTCGTCGTAAACCTATATCATATGCTATTAATAGTTCTATATCATCATCTTCATCGATTAATTCATATATACCTACAATTAGAAGATCATCATCATCATCTTTTACTTTACGTCAATTAACTGTACAAGATCTTGATGAAACTAATTCAAGAAATTGGAATCAATCATTATCAAGACAAGGAGAACATTTTCGAATTCCAAGACCAACTCTGAATAATATACCACATTCATCAATACGTTTACCTAATAATAATTCAATATGGACATCAACTGTGAGACCTACACATGCCGAAGATTTTTCTTCATCACCAACTTTAACTTCAAGAACACATGTTTCTGATCGACCATTCTATCAAATTGTACAACCACCAATTCCACCTTCACCATCAATTCAACATCAAATTGTACCTATTTATTCACCACGATTTTCACCAATCTATACTCGTCGTTATATAAGACGAAAAAAAAAATATAAACAAGAAAAAACACCAGGTTTATGTGCAACATTATGTACCGGTGGTTGTGGTACATTTGTTGCACTTATTTATTTAAGTTTTTGTCTTGCTTTACCAATAACAAAACTTGTTTTAGGTATTAAATATATAAAAGATTGTCCTGTTGATAATAAAATTCCATTATATATGATTGTATCTGGTGGTTGTGGTATAGGTATTATACTTTTTCTTCTTCTTTCATCAACTTGTTCATATTATCGATCATCAATTATTGCAAGAAAATCAACTCATAAATGTATGATATTGACAATTGGATTTGCACGTGGTATGCAAGGTATTATAGCTATATTTCTTTTTGTTTGGTTTTTTATTGGAAATTTTTGGATATTTGGCGCTCGATATCGTGTTCAAACAAATAATCCAAATGATAATAATAATAATTATTGTCATCCAGCTCTTTATTGGTTTGGATTTTATGTTCTTATTTTTACTTATGTTTTTGCTATTATTTTTTGTTTTTTAAAATTTTGTGCAAATTTTTTTTGTTGTCATGCATGTGATATATGCAAGAGAGCTTTTACATAAATCATATCGATATCTGATCTCAGTCGAAAATAAAAATAGAATATAAGCTTCAATTGATTGACCATTTTATGATTGTGTATATGTATATCATACGAATAGGACAGATAAGACGACAACAACGATGAAAAGTTGGTTAATTACTTTTTTTTTTTTCGTTCGCAATATATGAAGAGAACGAGAGAGGCAGAGAAAAATGCAGTTCACTTGTCACAAAAATACGACTAGAACGATAGCATATAATACATATTGAACAGAAGAAAGAGAGAAAAAGATGAAACGAGGTCGACATATATTCATTTTTTTTTCTGTGTGTACAGTAGATATGAGTAAAGAGACGATCGACGTTTAACGAAGCACTTGACTGATACAAAACAGCCTTCTCTTTTTTTTTCCTTCTCTTATTTATACGTAGACAGTGCCGTCAGGCTTCTATTTCCAAATTACAAAACGAACTATAGTCTCACTCTCTGCGTCGTTTTCATTATTCTATGTATGCCATATCGACAGTCTCAAAAGAGCAATTCTGTTCTTTTATTTCTTCACCATCAACAACAACGACCAATAATAAGACATAGGCTGTCAGTACTATGAGCTTTTCTCTCTCGCTCTCTTTCCCATTCCATATATGATGGAATAGGATTACCCCACGCATGATGATTTATTGTGGC